CCTTGTCTGCGTGTATAAAACAAATATTTAGTTTGATTTAATTTTCCTGATAACAAAATCAATATCAATACCAATATAACAATATTCAAAGATCCAACTTCAGTGTTGAATTGGTAACCTTTAAGAATAATTTTATTTAAAGGATCGATAAGTTTACCCGGATCGTATCTAAATTTCCGGGATCGGTAAACAACATCTCCGTAAAAATTAATATGTGCTATCCCGTTTGAAATAAGTTTTCTACAGGTTCAACAAAAGTTCCAAACCAGTTAAATCTATTGACCCTTGTTTTCATTATTCATGTTTTCATCTAGTGGACGGGGATGGGTATATGAGTAAAATAAGTCATTCTTCTGAACAAATGCGAGTTTAGGTGTTGCAGTTAAACGGAATATGGCGGTAAATATTAACGGATATCCTAAAATCGAAATATGGATGTTTTGAAATATTTCAGGAGGTCCATAATGATTTATGGATGAGCTGAATTTAAATAATGGAGGGTTGTTAATATTGCAGGACCTCCTTAGATAAAACAATTTAAACTAAACAAGCGCCTAAACATACTATGAAGTTGAAGCAAAATGAATAATAAATAGGAAAAAAATGACTGCGTGTTGATGTTACAAAACCGACTGTCCCCAATAATAGTTGACAAAAAAATTTATTCCAAATAAAACAAATTCGTTGCATCCTCTCCTGTGACCCTTAGTGAATAGTTAAACATCTAATCCTTGCGCCTTTGTAAACATTAAATGTGTTTTCGTAACGGTTACCAAATACTACTGCTTGATATGGGTTTCCTTGTTATAAATTTTAAATAGGTGGTCATTAAATTATCTTGATAAGATTATTGTTATTTACTTAATTAGTATTTGTAGGTAATGAGCTATTAATTATGGTGTGTACTTCCTTGTCCCAGATACTTATGGAGATGGTTTTTCGTCCGTTGAAGAACACACCACAGAATGTAAAAACGTATTTTTGTGTTTCCGTATTGTAGCTATATTCCCGAGCGAGTACTCGAGTATCGATCGATAAAACCAACGAGTACTCGATTAATAATTGTTCACCGAGTTGACATCCCTAGAAATTATCGAGCAAGGAATAGAAAGCTGATATCTAGATTAAAAATTATAAGTCTGTTATTTTTAAATTCATTTTTTTTAATAATTTAGATAACCTTTGAACATGGTGAAGTATCTGATGTGTACTGCAAACATTTGTTGTCTGTCATTTAACTTATTTGGACAGAGGATTCTTTGAGTATTCAATAGATTTTCCATAACTATACAAGGCATCTATGGATGATAACACAAACGCCATGATTTTATTGTCTTACTATGAAAATCCTCCATCTAATAGTTGACCACATTCCAAAAAAATGTTAAGGAAAGTATAAGTCATGCACTCTCAATAATGGTTCTATAAGGTCAAAGTATCCCCTCACTTCACTTATAAAAAAATCGGAAACAAAATTTAACTGACATATTTAATATTGAACAGGGGCTTCGTTTACTAAAAAGAAATGTCAAACATCTTCAACTAAATTCGGCTGTTCTGTTTAGTGTAAAAATAAAAGAATAAGAAGATGTGGTATGATTGCCAATGAAACAACTCTTCATAGAAGTTTACACAACTATATGTCATCGTGCGGCTTTCAACAATGAGCAAAACCCATACCGCATAGTCAGCTATAAAAGGCTCCGAAATGAAAAATGTAAAACAATTCAAACGAGAAAACTAACGGCCTGATTTATGTACAAATTAATGAACGAAAAACAAAAATGATAAACAGCAACAAATAACAACCACTGAATTACAGAATGCGGCGGGGTTAAACTAGTTTGTTGGCGCATAACCCTCCTCAAGCCTGAGACAGTGGTGTAACAGTACAACATAAGAACAAACTATCAAAATCAGTTGAAAAGGGCTTATCTCATCAGATCGATACAAAGCAGAAAAACATCTAACAAAGTGGAAGTGGCAGGGTATTTATACATTCCATAACAACAAAAAACACTAAGTACAGATCTGTGAGTACTCGCAGTTACTGACAGCTAGTTCATTGATATAAGAAGATGTGGTATGAGTGCCAATGAGACAACTCTCCATCCAAGTCACAATTTGTAAAAGTAAACCATTATAGGTCATAGCCATTAACAACTAATGAAAAAATCATGCATCTAAGACTAAAATATCAGTCAGTTCACATCTAAAATCCAATGGATTTAGTGTAAAGACGTCAGAAAAAAATACAGGACCTTGTGCAATGCCAAGATATAGGCATTGACAAGTTTGTAGAGCCATGAATGTGCATATGCATATAAAAATGATATTAAGTTTGATTTAAATTTACTGATAACAAAACCAATAAATATAAGAATAAAAACAATATTCAAAGATTTTATTACAGTGAAGAATTGGTAACCTTTTAGAATAAGTTTATTTGAAGGATCGATAAGTTTGCCCTGACCGTATCTAAATGTTCGGGCTCGGTAAACAACATCTCCGTATAAAAAGGATGTGCTATCCCGTTTGAAATAAGTTTTCTACATGTACAGCCAAAATTCCAAACCAAATCTTTATATCTATGGAAGAATTTAGTAAAGGTTTAATGTAATATGTGGTAACGAAATAGGTCTATTTTGTTTTTAAGTGCTCCCATACGTTTTATATTTTGGCTTTTTAAACTCTTTGTCACGAGCATATCTGAACAAGTCTATACCAGAAACACGTGTTTTGTGCACGGAAATCACATATTTGTTTCCCATAGTCAACTTTTAATAGCAAGGTAGTTGGAATGTTTATAATGGACTTTCACAACATTATGGTCGTATTGAGCATCCGATCACATGCACAACTTCCATTTCCCTTAACATTTATGGCTGTTTATAGATATTCAATGTAGATTCCATCGTTTTGATTGCCTAGCAACAATCAAAATGTGTTTTACGGCGATGATTAATATCCCAGTAAAACGTAACATCCACAACTACACAAAATTGCTCTGCAAAAGATGTTGAAGAGGAAAATAAAACTTAAAGCTTATTTTATCTCTAAATTTGTTGTTAAGCATTAAAATGTAATAATAAGAAAAAAGGATTAACAAAAATACCGAACTCCAAAGTTAATTCAAAAAGGGAAAGTCCATGAAAACTGACAAAATCAAACGTTAGACTTTATCAACCAACGGAACGAAGGGAAAACAACTGTCATATTCATGACTTGGTACAGGCATTTTCCGAAGAAAATTGTGGGCTACACCTGGTTTATAGATATCTAAACCTCTGATTTGTATGACAATTGTTTATTTTACGTTATGTTGACGGAATTGGGTGAGCAACCGAAACAGACATTGATATATGTAATATGTATTTTTCGCAAACTGTTTTGTTATAAATTAGTCCGTTAGTTTTCTCGATTGAACTGTTGCATATTTTTCATGTCGGGTTTTTTATAGCCGACTATAGTTTTGGGGGTTTTCGCATTGTTGAAAGCCGCACGGTTGCCTATAATTGCTTGTTCTAACTTTGGTGGATAGTTGTCTCATTGGCAATCATGTCACATCTCCTTTTTTATATATATGATAGGTTAATAAGACAATAAATGTGATCCATCAGCCAAAAGTGTGCAGTCATACATCACAGACATACAACACAACTGACTAAAAAATCCAAACAAACATACAAATAAATCAAACGAAGACGCCAACAAAAACGTTTTTTAGTTCATTGTACATACAGTATATACAATGTAGTAAACAATTTCTCGTTAAAATACAAATTAAGTATGATATGAATACAAGGGTACTTATTGTTTCATTATGTAACTTTATAGGGTTGTAAAAGCGTTACGTTGATCTTGCGAACATTTTAGTATCCGTTTTCATATATCATTTCAAATGTTTTGGCTTTAATCATCACAGAAGAAACGTTAACTGTCCAAAATGCGCAAATGGTGCAGTTAAATTGGTACCATTGGTGTAATTCGTGTGCTTTGATCAACGCTTTTATTTTCAGAAAAAAACAAAAAGAAGCATTAAATTTTTAAATGAAAGTTTTATATTTTAGCTGACCTCAATATACTACTGTTCATTATCTCTTACACGCTTGATTCCAATTATTCTCTTTCTGTCAAATTATTAATTGGTTTGATACAACATATGCGCATTTATTGTGCGTAACAAAAACGTCAGTGCGTTGGACAACGGGATGAATATCTTAATGGGAATCATTTTCAGATCACGGTTCAGAAAATGTGATAAATGATAAAACTAATATATTTCTGAAGGTAGGGTTGAATAATAGCCAAAACAATGGAGACGAATGCTTAAAAAAATGTCAAGCGGGCACAATAACCCTGTAAGGTCAAAGATGCAGGGGTCACGTTTTGCCCATTGACATTTTAATGACTACGACGTAATTTTTAATTTTGAAAATAGTTCACGAAAAAAAAAGAGACGTGGGTTATGCAAATGAGACGAGTACGGCATCACAACAACCTTAAAACACCAAAATACATTTTACGGTCAACATACGATCTTCAATTTTATACAATATGCTAAGGTCTCAATCACCCAAGTGTAAAAAGTTATCGTTCAAAGATACATCATAACCACCAAATTCACGAAATGACAAAAATCATTCAACAAAAGATATTCTGTTCAACAATGCATATGAGTATTTGAAGAAGAAAAAAGTGAAAAGCTTGAATTGTCTCCAAATTATAAGAGATGGTATACAGATGATGAGATTTTTCAAATTTCTCATGCACATTAATTTGTGAAAATAAAAAAAAATTAAGAAAAAAAAATACAGGAAATACAAAATTAAATTGAGGAAATAAAAGCAAAGGACATTTTGGTGCTTGCTCGTTTCCGTTTGCCCTAGTTTCCTTATGTAATTGAACCTGATATAGAGTTTTCCTATTGGTAATTGAATCATATTATTAATGTGTTATTATTATTTCCGGGATGGGAATATATTAACATAAAAATTTACATGCATGATCAAAACTGCAGACTTTAACTGATCAAGCACAGTTTATTATACATACAAAAAAATGGTTATGAGGTTAATTATACTTACAGTTATCGTAATCAAAGGTGAGTAATGAATAAATTGACTTTAGTTGAAAATCCATTTGTTATATCAGATGGCCAATTCAATCAATTCAAGGTTTATATAATAAAAAAATTTAAATGTTTGTCTGATGCACTATACATGTTCCACAGTCAATTAGGTCAATAGTTTTTTATAAGGTTAGTTTTATTCAAAACGCTTAACATCAAGGTATATGATAAGGCAAGTTTTATCAAATCTTTTGTAACTGGTGAATATTCAAACTCCCCTTTTATTAGAACTGCATATATTTCATTGTTACAGCATGAAGCAAGATCAGTTTAACAGACTTGTTTCTAAATGATTGGTCAATGATTTTTAATATGCCATAGCGATAGCATTCATTATATTATTTCCATTGTGATTATTTATTTTAAGTACTTCTGTACTTAAAAGTTGGCTACATACCTTTTAAGTTATTATGTTGAAGTTCGTGATTATGACAATTATAAAAAAACCATTAGTGAAGATACTTAAAAGTGGTTTATTTCCGTGGAGGTTACATTTTGAGATTTCAAAGAATAAAGCTGTTCAACATGTTTTATTTTCACGTTTTTCTAGTCTTCCTTAAAGATAAAATTGAAATCCGTAATTTTTTCACAATTTTATAGAAATCGTGAAACTAGCAAAAAGTTAAATCACAAAAATACTGAACTCCGAGGAAAATGGTTATCTCCTTAAGAAAATCTCCCATTACATAGTATTAGTACAGCTCTTTTAGAATTAACACATCTCATGTCAATGAAAGAATAATATTATCCACGTTCTTTCAATTAAGGTTAATTTAGTTGAAATTATTGCTTTGCGTTCTTGTTTAAGTTTCACATAGGCCTCTTATATTAAGTCAGTGATACTAGGTATGCAGCTGCATTGAATAAATACAACTTATTGTTCTATTAATTTGGCCAAATGTACTTTTTTCATATGAATTTAATTTGGCGTACCATTGTAGGCTTGGAACAGCATGAGCTTGATTTGTCACCAAACAATGGCACCTTGGTTCCGACAGGAAATAACCTTACAATTACGTGTTCTGTTAGACCATGTAATGAAACTGGAAGTGTTCTGCTATTTTTTGGGCATGCTGAAAAATTATTCAGTGGAATATGTGATAATGAAATATTTGTGTACAGAAGAAGATATGTGTTTTCGTGTAATTCAACTCAATGCACGTACACCCTTAATGTGTACGATGTTGATGTTACGGATCAGCGACAAATGATCTGTACTTATCGGTCGTCTTCACAAAACGTCATCAATAAAACCACCACCATCCGAATATCAGGTAAGTAAATGTATTATTTCACCGAATATTGATCAATTTAGTGTAAACTATGTAATTCTTGAAGGTTGACATTCATTAGGAACGCTAAAACTCAAAAACATTAAAGCCAAGGTTATATAGATACTTAAATGCGTAAGGAGTTTCATTCTAACATTATAATACATTTTATAAATCGAATATGTTAAAATGATGCATTCAGGGTGAAAGAAGGATTCAAAATTAAAATACTAATATCTAATTGACCCTATGAAAAAGGTTACTGTTAAAATTATGTTTTCACTCAAAAACAATAATTAGTGACAGGAAGTCCAAAGTTTGGGTCCTGTTAAGTGCTATTTCAAAGCACATTAAAACCGATATTTGCAAACAGAAATATGCAAAATTGAAATAAACACAGATGTTTCATTTCTATTTATTGTGTGCTCTAACCGATATTCTTAGCTCAAAAGAATGATGAAGTTAAGTTAGTTTGTAATCTGTTTTCTTTTTGGATGAACTTGCAACAACTTATGACCAGAATTAATGTGTCATTAGAAAAATCAAATATGTTATAAACACATTCAAAAAAAGGTTTGTTTGTCTGAGGAAGTGGCCAGCGTATACTGAACTGTTAAATGTAGATAAAACATAAGTCAAAGTTTGATTTTCCTCATTCAAATGTTAACTTATAACAGAACACTGCCTCAAACCCTTATTGAATACAAAATGATATCAATTTATCTGTAATTATTGTTTTTATCGGTATAAATATTGATTTTGTTATCAATAAATTTTAACACAACTAAATATCATTGATATACAACTATGGATATTCTAGTGATATCTTTATTTTGGCATTAGACAATATTATGGTTTTCTCTGAATGTCTTTACACTAAATCCATTGGATGTGTATTAATTGATATGTTTATCTTGGATACATGATTTTCTAATTAGTTGTTGTTGGCTTTTAACTAGCCACTGTAACTGCGAGTATTGTACTTTTAGTCTTCAGTGTTTTTGGTGGTTGTTTTTGCTTTGTATCTACCAAATGAATTTAGCCCTATTCAACTCATGTTTATAGTTTGTTCTTATGATGTGCTGTTACTCAATTGTCTTAGTTTAGGGGAGGGTTGAGCGCCTGCAAACATGTTGAACCCAGCCATATTGAGTATGTCAGAAGTCAGTAACCTGCAATCCAGTGGTTTTCGTGTATTGCTGTGTTTCATACTTTTTTTCGTTTATTGTTTTGTACATAAAATAGGCCATAAGTTTTCCCGTTTAAAGAAGTTTACATTTCTCATGTCGGGGCCTTTCATATCTTACTATAAGGGTATGGGTGACCTATAGTTGGTGACTTCTACGTCATTTCAATACTTTGTCAGCTATCAGTAACCGTGACTTATTGCAATTGTATTTTCTTTCAAAGTATCTTTGAATGCTTAACTAAATTTTGAATTACTAAAATGTCAGCAAGTATTTGCTTAATTATATGATTGATTGATTGATTGTTTGTTGCTCTACGCCGCATCAGCACAAAAAGGCTATATCGCGGCGATGCTTAATTATACAATCTGAAATACAGTTGATTTGAATCGGAATAATTGGATTGATTAGACATTGAAATAAACGAGGCACTTAAAACCCCAACAGTAACTTTATATTGTCGCTTTACTTTCTATGTGTTATGCGGTATGGGCTTTGCTAATTGTTGAAGGCCGTACGGTGACCTATAGTTGTTAATTTCTGTGTCATTTGGTCTCTTGTGGAGAGTTGTCTCATTGGCCATCATACCACTATTTGTTCTGACTTGAAGTTCGGGCTTGAAAACAACGCTCGAAGAGTTATTATCTAAAGACCTAACGACAATGTGTGTGCGTGTGTATTTGATTTTATAATGCGGTTTTTATCCAACGCAATCATAGGTTTGAACGTTGTTTTCAATTTAGACTTGTTTATATTTTTTCGTTTGGGCTTGTATTATATTTGCCTTCGGATTTATATGATCCGTTCATCCTATTTTTACTCTTTCAAAATTCAAGAGTCTATCCTAAATTGAGGTAAATAATATGGCCTTCCAAATATCGTTTAGATTCCTAACATCACTGAAGAGACATTAATTGTCGAAATCCGGATATGGTGTACTAATTTTTGCACCTCATGTTTGCGGTATACCATCTTTTCCGCAAGTTTATTGTTTTCTGTCTGGTAATAAATTAATGATTAGATCTATTTTGTTACATCTTGTGATTTGTTTTTTGGCAATCGCCAATGGCAGTCAGAAGGGTTTAATAACATCAGTTGTTCGACCTGCTAGTCAAATGCGTTCTGTTAAAATATACTTTTTCACTCATTTGGTCTTTTGGAAAATGTTGTTTGTGCTGTATTTAGACCCCTCTACCAAGAAATTTATCTTGCCTGCACACGTATAAAAATTGCGGTTTTTATCCAACGCAATCATAGGTTTGAGCGTTGTTTCAATTTAGACTTGTTTGATTTTATAATGTATGTATTGACAGATTTTCCCGGTAAACCCACCATTGAACCGGAAGGTCCATTCTACCTTACACAGGAGGTTAACCTTACTTGTAGTTCAACTGGAGGGAATCCAGTTCCAAGAATGATATTTTCTTGTAATGGTGAAAACGGAAGGGAGAAAATGAAGTTAGACAAAGTCGTAGAATATTACCTTTCATTGAGAATGGACTCGCACATGGTGAATACAGTTTGTACATGTGTAGTTATTCAATCACAAAATAACTATAAACAGGAAACAACATTCTACCCGATTATATACTCAGGTTTGCGTTAGTTATGAAATATTTACACAAGTATTAAATATGAATCAAGTGTTTTGTTTTGATGAAAATACTATCATTGAGATAAACTCATTATAGAAACCAGGATTAAAATTATCATCTGATTAAAGATCGACTTAGATATAGAGATAGTATACTGATATTCATAGTCCATAGGTCAAGGTTCAATCAAACAAATATGAGTGCAAAACCATCGGAAAGACATGATCTCCACAAATATGGGTTCAAAACCATTTGGAGTGGCATGATACCCATATAAACGCAGTGAAGCCAGGTGCCTCGACAAGCTAATCGTGTCCTATTATTCACGCCTCATACGTTATGTATTACCTAAATTTTACCCAGTAGTCAATGCTCTTACGTTTCGTTGTTACACTGTCGTTTTAACTATGTATAGTTGTCTCGAGCTCATTGACGGAAAATAATACCACATCTCCTGAATTTTACATAGTGAGCGCTGGGGATCTATCGCAGAATTATACTAGAAATTTAAGACACTATACCAATTAAGAGAAAAAGACTGTCATTCGATCAATCAGTTTGAGATGGAGATTTGTTAAGTAATGGTGTTTGTCGTCTTTCCTCATAAAAGAGGGAGAAGATACGAAAGGGAAATAAAAAAAACCATAAGTCAAATACAAATAGACAACACAATGGAAGAGTTGAAATTATATAAAAGAAACAGTTTTTTTTTAATAAGATTTCAGTTGAGGATTAAAAATAATAAACAAGTATATAATGAAGAAAAGTTAAATATTTCGATATTTTTGCAAACTTATTAGTGACTACGTTTTGAAACACTCTAGTGAATCTTCCGAACTTCTAATAAGTCATATTTGACTAACACTCTCCGATGGATATCATCTTGTAATTGTTTTTAGATCAGTTTTAAGAAAGGGTCATATGAAATTGAGGTATCCAATATAAGGAAGAGATATTTAAATGTTCTCTTTAGATATGTTTATATAATCAGCGCCTGAAGTCAGATAATGAACTTCCAACGGTAATTTGAAACGTGTTGTAAATATCATCTGAAGTAAACCCTTTTAGGAACTTCTTGTTTTATGCTAGTGTATATATTTTTTTTTTCGATAAAGAGTCAGTTCAAATTTCAAATCTATAAAAAAAGAGTCTTAGCAAAGCGTAAAAAACATGATAATGTATATTGAGTTTTGTTGAAAACTCCGAACTAATTGAAACTAAAATAAACATTATCATATTTTATTCTATTTCTACTTATATAATACAGACAATTTTACCACAATATCACCACCTGGACCGTATGTTGATGGAGAGAGCATAGATTTCAAGTGTTGTTTTGGAAAAGTAGACAGTCCTAGAACTAATCTATCCTTTCAGTGTCATGGAGAATACGTATCACAACAAATTAACAATGTTACTTGCCTTTATCTGAATGTTACAATTGATATAGACAAGTACAGAACAAAATGCACATGCATAGCTCAGTCGAAGGATATGAGCATCAATGTGAGCTCTGATATTCAACTGGTTATCAACCGATGTAAGTATAACCAATATATATTATATTTATTTCAAGGAAAAATAAGTACAAATCTGTTTTTGTACGATTTTGTTTTTTTGTAATCACGCAGGTTAAAAACTATAAACGAGCACGATCTGATTATCTTTATTATCTACGCGTGTAATTAAGTAAAATAACACGTGAATATAGAATCTTAAAAAAACGACAACAACCTTTCAAGAAATATAGGCAGATGATAGGTAGTAAGAATGTTATGCTACGATAAACACAAACCTCACCGAAAAAAAAATTATTGGATATTTATTTTAGACAAGCTATCTTCAATTGTGCAAGTGATAAACTGCTAGAAAGGCCAAGCACTGTTCAAAGTTGTTTGCACGTTGAATATGAAAATAAATACAAAGGAACTCAATCATTCAGTAATGGAACAAAATATCTAAAAGATAATAATATTGCGAATGAGCTACATTTTATATTACGACATGCTCAATCTTTTTTGAAGATGACCCAGCATTCGAGTTATCGCCATTTTACAAAGTTGTCTTTGGAAACACAACAACACTGACATGCCTTGTACCTGGTTTGCAATACCCCTTTGCATTTGGAAACTGGCAATATAAGAAAGAAAAAGAAGAGAAAAAGCTTAAAGGATCAATTAGCTCAAATACCACAACCGTGTTAACAGTCAGCAATAGCACTTACGTAGAAATGGGGACATACTATTGCACAGTGGTTGATGAAAGAAAAAATGATACTGTTGTAGCAAATGCATCGACAGAGTTAAAAGTAGAAGGTACGTATCAATATTTTCTACAAACTGAAAACTTTTATTAAGTTTTAAACATAAAAATGCGTATGTCCACATTTGGCCTATATACATGATATTTAAACGATAAAGAAAGTGCTGTGAAAATTGTGTTTTTACAATAAACCTTTTTAATTTCTAAACTCAGCACATGAAATGCAATGAATTTTCTTTAGTTATTAAGAAAACAAATATGTTGCTCACTGGTGAAAAGATGTCTTATTTGACAATCATACCACATCTTCTCATTTTTGTATGTCTGATTTGGATGAAATATCTGTCCAAAAGGTAAAATCCACTATAATGAAAATAGTATGCCATCTTTATTTTTTTCAAAACTTTTACTGCGTTATATACTGAATAAAAACAAAAAACATGTAGCATAAGTAGTTAGTCATCTACAAAAGAGTTGCCCATGTTAATCCTCAACGTTATTTGTTAGAATAATAATGAAACCAATAAATGAAAAAAAGGTGTTCGTCGTAATAGAAATGTCGTCGGTCGGGTTAGTAATACAAATCAATTCAAATTCTGCAAAATTCTCAAAAACATAAGGAGAGTGATTTAAGATATCTCCTTCTGGCATTCAAAAAAAGACTGTCATTAAAAAGCTTTTTAACATTGCAACGAAAGCGCATTATTCATCTTTAACTTGTTGTACATTGTATCGAATTCTATCTTCATTCGTTTAATTACAGGACCAATCGCTCTGAAGAAAATTCACAGTAAACAAGTAAACAACACACGTTGCATGCTTATTGCAACGTTTGAGAGCTTCCCAAAAATAGAAATAAAGTCATTGTGGGAAAGCAACAAACAGATTGAATTTCGACAAAGCATATTAAACAGTAACGGTCCTGAAAGGAAAGACAAACCAACCACTAAACAGCAAGCAAACATTCTTCTTGTGGATTGCCTGTCAAGTACTATTTATGGAATGGTTGTTTCAAATGATATCTTTACCGAGAAATTTTACTTTGATATGAAAGGTATATTATAGGAAAACACTAACATGTATAATTATGAATAAATTTACAAGGAGAAATACTGTTCATGTATATCTTCCTCTGGTTTTTTTTTTTTTTTTTTTTTTGCATTTTGACTGTATGAATATAGTTCAGTAAAGAAAAAACGGAATGAACGATAGATGGCTATGCCGTTTTCTTCTCTCCAACCATTTTTTATTTGACAAAACGCCATTTGCATGGGCGCTTATGTTGTTCACTGCTAGTATGATGGACCGAGGTTCAATTTTGACATTGTCCGTATTTGAATTGACAAATATTACTATTGCAGATGTTATCATGAAATATCCTTCCCATTCATTTAGAATCGAATGGACCTTTAATATTTTCGCAAAACGCATTGAGCATATATATTCTAATTCATACTTTACGCTCAATTTTTTAAATGAAACATTTTTTGCAGGTGTAATTTTCAAAATGTCACGAATTTTGAAAATGGATGAACAATTTATAGATGGTAAACTGGCATCTATGACATGTTACGATATCACCCAATCAGAACTGAGTAATCTGGACTTATCATGTGATAATATAACAAGTATGAAACAGGATATTGTAAACGATGCTGCATCTATTAGAACTGAATTTATTGCCGACATAAAGGATGATGGCACTAAATGTAGATGCAATTCCAATCAATCTGAAAGCGAGTCAATACTGCAGATTCACATAGTTCCTTGTAAGTGTTTACAAGTTATCAAGTATACCAGATAATAATCCAAGCATAAGAAGGAAAACATTGACAAAGAATCACCCAATTGTACACAGAGTACTTCGGTTTTTGCTTTCTTATAGGTCTAACCATAAAATCGTACAATGTGATTTCAACATTTATTATTTGGATTTAACTTATCGGAAATAAAATTCAACGGAACATCTTCTTAAACAATAAAATTGAAGCGTTTACGTTTTAGAGTTTATAAAATGACTTATTACAATAAATTTTACAAAACCATAACGATTCTGGGGAATTGTTATTCACTCGGTGCAATGACAATTGTGCATATTACAAGAAAATAACAACAATATTGAATTTATTGTATATGGTGTACTCCAAATCACTCAAACGTCTGAACAAAAGTGTGTAAGAATATTTATTTACACAATAGTAGACGCCAACTCCTTGTTCTACAGGCAGAAACAGAACTCCTCCAATGTTTAAAAGGAAAATGTTTTCACCATAAAATAATCGTTCAGTGTAATGTTCTTCAATAAACTCATCATAGATTCCAGGACTGAAATTTTGTACTCGAGACGCGCGTTTGGTCTACAAAAGACTCGTCACCAGACTGAAAAAAGGTTTTGAAAAATACAGAAATAGGAGTACCTTTAATAATATAAAAGAAATAAGATTAAAGTCAGGTTCAAATGCGTATTATTACAAAATATACATGTGAAAGTTTATGAAGTAAATTCTTTTTAAATATTTCTTAGACTTTATCCACATCGAATGAAAAATCAAAGTAAACGTGAACAAAACAGACAAAAACATGATTTAAATTCGTTTTCCAATCCCTTGATAACAAAAGCAATAAGTCGGCCAGATATTTAAAATTATTTACGACTGCTTACGTGTTGATCTCATATAATATTGATAACCTAATAAGATTAAAAAAAAATGTTTTTCATAAAACGCAAAAGGCGCACAAAAGCATAAAAATTTCAGAATTTGTTATATGATTTGATTTTCATCAATTGAATATTTGTCTGGTAATCTGCCTTTTTTTATTTTGATAATCTCCATTTGGAGTATCTCCATTTATATTTGTATATTAAAATTCTATTCTGAAGTGGGCTCTGGACTTTTCATCTGACAATTTCGGTTTGTTCTGTCTTTGTAATTTCAGACAAAGGACATAATGTATCATATGAAAAGGACGTGTGTGAAAGTAATTCAGAGATAAAACTCGTCTGTCAAGACGAAAACTTACCAGACGTTTTTCACTTTGGAAAGTGGATTCACCATTATAATGATGTAGAAATAGGCCAACGTGATGGATTTTCATCAAGGAAACAGACGTCTATCCAAATACCTTTCTGTACATATGAAGACATAGGGAACTACACATGCACCGTAACTGATTCAAGGAAGAACACAACTGTTTTTAATTCAACTGTTTTTCTTAATGTGCCAGGTTAACGAAGATTTCTAATATATAAATTGTCAATCTTAAGGCAGATGGGAAAGGGGTCTGGATTAAAAAAAACGATAGGTTTTTAATGCTTTGCTAAAATTAGTTTATATCATGATAATGTTAAAAATATGATGAAGACTTTGGGTCATGGAGCTTTTTTCAATTTACAGGTTGTGCAAAATTGTCAGATTTTGTATAGATTATATAAGAGAAAACCAATTTTGTGTAAAAAGAAAGAAAAGTAGACGATATACTTTAGAATAAAATATGAAAAATTAGCTCTTATAGTGTGCTATAAGAAAATGGCATTTTATGACCTTTTGTATTTGATATCGATAAATCTTAGATCCCCGAACCTTTCTAAGATAACTGTTTTCTGTCAGGCGTCAATAATTGACTTAAGTATGCATCATGACAACTTCAATGCAACAACCTACTTATTCATTTCAGGGCCACCCGTTATAGTAAACAGCTCTATTGTAAAAGATAATTCAAAAGCAGAATGTGTACTTAGTGTCCATTTTTATTCTTTTGATGAAAATCCGGCAATTAATTGGTATAAAAATGGAAAATTGTTACATTCATCGGAACGTCAAAGACCAAATGTCAGTCCAACTACTCATTATGTAAATATGCATAACACTGAAGTTCCAGTTAAAGCAAAGATTGCAACACTTCATCTGAAACCAGGATGTGATGTAGAAACATCTATATACCGCTTTACTGTGAAAACTGCAGACTTCTCAACATCTCATACTTTTAAAGAAAATGGTGAGTATATGATTGATGTTTTGGAAAGTTTGTTATCCTACATTTTTACATTTTCGACATGTGACTGCATAAGCAACATACAATTTGCTTGTACTCTTTTTAATTCCTAGTCGTTCTTTGATTTGCTTTTGTAAATGACTATATTTTATAATGTCAAACAAAAGAACAATTTCTTATTGTCTGTTCTTAATTAATATGGTTATTGTGGCGTGTGTTGTTCAACCACAGACACAAAAATACAAACCAACAGTTTAAATTTCTTAATAGACAAACCTATTGATTCGCCAACACAAACTTCTTTAAATACCGGAATGAACTCATGTGATGTAAAAACAAAAGAGGGGTAGAAGAAGAGGAGTGATTGTTTCTACGATTATTGAACATCATATCATCGTCATCTATTGCAGAGATATTCAACAACGTTTAAACAAATCATAGTGGCGTGAGTTAAAACTTGCGAAGAGGATGCCTCAACTTTTAGAGTGTTGTGTCTTTTCAAGAGTTGTGTAAACTTCCTTATAAAAAAAGTGTACTGGTATGGTTGTAATTGTGTATGATGCATGAGGAATGTTTTATAGTTTATTTTAAGTTCATTTTAGAATAAATGTATATTGAAATTTTCAATTACCTCAAACACGTTACACTGTGTGTATAATTTAAATAGTTCAAATTTAGTATGTGTATGGGGAATAGTGTATTGTGTAATTCTGTAAGGTGTATTGGTGCATTATGTATTGTGTTTTAGTGTATGGTATAACTGTAAGTGGTTAATTCACGCCATTCAATGACTGTAGCTTCCTTCTAGGTAGCAAACCTCTGTATAGGGAATCATTAATGGGAATGTTAGAAACGCAAACCTCATAACACTGTAGCAACTTGGAGATACTAGTTTATATTCCATATTAATATGTTGCTTCGATGTTGCTACAATAAAATTGAAAATGCTCAGATGAAAAACTAAAGTCGACAAAATATTTCCATACTCCTAACAACAAAACTATTATATTTAAATTTACATGTGTACGCTATTTTATTTAACGCCATTTTGTCCCAGGTTATAGTTGTCTTTTTGACATTGTTTTACATCCCCTTTTTTATTAATATTGTATTTATATTGTGCCATAGATCAAATTTATTCGTTCAGTGTATGTTTACTTGTTTTTGTTGATATGTCTTTTTGGTCGAGTTAAGCCATTTCAATATATATTTTATAGTGTGTCTTTCTATGTTGTAATGTTACACTACTATTTCATGTTAGGACGAAGGTTGGTGCCTGTTTAAACGTTTAAACCCGCTGCATTTGTTTGCACCTGTCCTAAGTCAGGAACCTGTTGTTCAGTGGTTGTCATTTGTTGATGTGGTTCATAAGTGTTTCTCGTTTCTCGTTTTTTATATAGACTAGACCGTTGGTTTTCCTGTTTGAATTGTTTTACACTAGTCATTTGGGGCCCTTTATAGCTTTCTGTTCGGTGTGAGCCAAGGCTCGGTGTTGAAGGCCGTACTTTGACCTATAATTGTTAACTTTTTACACATTGTGACTTGGATGGAGTGTTGTCTCATTGGCACTCATACCACATCTTCTTATTTCTATATGTATTTCTTTATTAGATAACACAGTGCGCAAAGTGTTAATACTCTCACTGATAATAGCATCAGGAATTTTCATAGCAGGACTGATCATAACAATATGCAGAGCAACCAAGGGTATGTAAACACTGATTTATGAAATAAACAATGCTTGTAATTTAGTACACCAGACGCGCATTTTCTCTACATAAGACATGTCAAATGCAAAATCACAATCCATGTTGCAAACCGAAAGTGTCTAAGTAATTTCCTGATGGTCATATGATATTTGTGTTGTGTTGTTGAAGTATTTTCCATTGTTGGAACTGTGCTATTACTTCTCCTTATATTTTTTTCGGTATTTTAATATCAGTAAGCAAGTCCATGGATTCGTCCGGCAATGAGAGGCTAATTTGATTTGCTTTTCTATTTCCAAGAGTTTTCCCCAACAAAATATGGCACACACAAACTCTTTACTCACTGTTTGTCTGTCACAAGCGTTTATAGCACAGTAGTTTCTACAGTTTATTTATGATTAGAATGAAACTTAACAGGATATCTTCATTCAGTAATAAGTGGTATATTTGCCTTCTTAATTAAAGATCAAATTTATCTTAAGTTGCCAACAGCAAAAGATTGACCTTTTCACATATTGGAAGTTTGTTTAGATTAATCTTCCCAGTGGTCTGAATCGTTGGAGTGTTAGGAATTTCGACCAAAATTGCTTATGATTTCAAAGTTTTGGGAGCATGGGTAAGTTTTAGCGTTACTATTTTTGAATATGAGACAGGAAAAAATCTGTTTTTCTCTGCTGTCTCTTCAGTTCCTATTAAATCGTATTTCTTTATCGATATATTAGAAATATTTTATACGAACATAACTACGAATAACTTTCATTAGATACCTGATTTTTCAATTCGTCTGTTGCTGTTTAATGCTACATTTCAACAAACTTTTGTGTCATTCGCACCCTGCGCTACCATATCGATATAGAATTATTGTCTTATTATTGATTGATTGCACAAAACTATATGTTGCGAATATACTCTTATGAAATAGAAATGAAAAATATCGTAATTCAATTCAAGTTGATAGTTTAAGACTCATTTCTCAATACTATAGAGCACAATATTACATTAAATGTATGATATGTATATAAAATGGAAAACTTTTACATAATTACAGAAATTATAACATCGTATCATTATACCAAATCATATGAGAACGCATTTTTAAATTAAAAAATTTCACTTAAAAATGTGAAATTGAAATCATTCCAATGAATTGCGTCAACTTAACAATCGCACCTGGAATTCAAAAAGTACAAAGAAATGGTAATTTCTGATTGGATTGAGAAATTTTCATTGAATTATAGTAAATACATTTAATAAATAGAAATTCCAATACCAATATCTCTCTTTGTAGAATTATAATTTCTATTTTTCTTTATCATTTAACTATTGGAATGAAATTATTAGTCATTACCTAATCTGTGAAGTTTAATCAAATTGTAGTGAATACCGAAAAATTTGTTTGTGACTGTTCTGTATTGTACAATTTAGTATTTTAAGAAATAGTTTACTTAATTTATAGGTACAAAAGACAAATTCTGGCAAATCAAGAAGAGGTAACTAACTATATGTCAAAGATAAAAATAATTAGGATATGAAAGCAATTACAAAAGATAAAAGAGATATGTGTACATGTCGGGAGCACCATCCCAATGACATAAAAAGACATCAAGAGATGAACATACTGTGACAAAACAATATGTCAGTTTATGCAGTTTAACACAAACTATCAAATATTTGGCATTATTAATAAATTTACTATTTGAAGCTATAGCTTCAATTGAATTTTCAAATATTTGGCTCAGATCGTCACTGAAGAGACGTTAATTGTCAGAATACATTCTGTGCATTAAAATTAGTACTTTTAATGTTATAACGACAACCACTGAAGATGTTCCGAATTGAAACAGGCACATGAACATGATCTATATCCGCTCCTTTTTGGTCTCGATTAGTGTAATGATACGGTATAACAGTATGTGCAGTTACAAGTCAGTATAAAAAAAATCACGCAACTATATAATATCGTTATAATAGAAATCCGAAAAATTGATATAAGTAATACCGTATCAAACAATGCTCACACATTGAAAGCGAGATCTGAAAAGTATTTATAAATTAAGGCGACTGTTATTAACCTATGTTCAAATCTCGTAAATCGAAAAGGGGAAAAAGATACTAATGGGACAATCAAAACACATAAGTCAAAAGAAACAGACAACACAATGACAAAAGGAAAAAGAGCATGAAACAATAGCCATCCACAAAATAATTAACAGAAAACTAAATATCTAGCAACACGAATCGCACCAAAAACGGGATGAAATAATGCCACAGTAGTTTACCAATGTCCAAATCTCGTAAGACGATTAGGATGAAAACACTGTCAGCAGGTCTTGCACCAAAAGCGTTATCTGCTGTATCGCTTAATCTGTGGATTTTGAAATATACTCTCCAACACTGAAGTATCATTAAGTCAAAGGGTATAATATTGTTAATCATATAGCAAATTATGCCATTACACAAATATTTGATAATAAAAGAATAAATCTGAATTCAATAAAATGTAAAGGGAAAACGTCTGGTTAATATTTGACGGTCATTCTTATAAAGTTGTTGCACTGTTAATATGAAAACTAAAATAGTAAAACAAAATGAAAAAATAAAGATTGTACAACAACGCCAAAAGTCAGTTAATCAAGGAGTGATTTATACAAATATTAATTAACAATTTATTATAACTAATATCCTTTATCAGTATCATATGTCGGATGTGAAATGGCGACAAATCTATCGTTTAAAACCCTTTATATGACGCAAACTGAACACCATTTACCAAAAAATGACCTATGTGTTCTGTAATAAATTTAGCATTAAAAACTTGCAGGAGGAAAATCCACCTTTGAGAAATAATTAATAAAATACAATCAATTGAACGTATTTTCAAGAAAATAATACAAAAATATCAACCCTCAAGGGCTAAAGTTTGACGATAAATATGACAATAAGACTTTATAAATGTGGGGTGTGTCTGAAAAGCTTTTCTGGATTTACCTTGATCAAGAATGCTAAAACTTAAAAAAGAAAAGAATTGAAAGCCAAGTGTATGTAAAAATTGACTACGTGATTAGCTGTAAATCGTTCTATGTCGTACAGAGAATAGAAGATATCAAATGGTAATCAGTGATCATTGGTCGATGAAGGACATAAAACACGATAGCCAAATGAAAATGGCGCAATAACGAAATGGAAAAATCAATTCAGAAATAAACTTTTGAACAAAACTATAGGTTGTGTTACTCGCATGCACAAAAAAAGACTTCAAATGCTTCAGAAAGTGATCCAAGACTCAATATTTTCCAGTTAAGTACGGCTTCTACATTGAAATCATCATCCCGCTCGATGTTTGAGTTTGATCCTGTAAGATATCAATGTTATTGAAAATATGTTTATGTTATATTAATATGATTTGATATATTATTTTTAGTCTGAATAGTACTGTAGCCAGAAGACGAATTGATACCCAGTTCTATGAAGAAGTTGGAATGGTTATTGCAAATATAAGTATGACTTATCTTATTTATATTTAAATAGAATACCTTCTTTATTTACATTTAAGAAAGTTTAATTCATAGAAGTAAAAGACATGATATAATGACCTTAAAAATTGAAAGGCAAAAAGGGCAGTAAACCTTATCGTTATTTCGTAATCTGCGACACTTGACCCGAGAATTTTTTAAGCTTGAACTATTGACGTCATACAACAATCATTTTTGCATTGTTGCGTCAGACATTTTATGCTATGACATCAAAATTTTACGGGAAAGTCTATGACAGCCAGAAATGGTGGACAAACCGCGATGAGGTGTATTTAAATAGTCCTGTTATAAAGTAGGTCTTTCAAAATTGCAAAAATCCCTTGAGCGAACGTTAATTTGAATGTTTTGTGAGAGTTAGCAATTACTATTAGGATTAATTATATATATGTATGTTAATGTATATGGTGTTGTTTCAGGGCAAGCAGATGAAGGAAACACAGGACATAACAGAGATACATTGACAGACAGTAACTATGAGCAGATTCCATTTGATAGAAACTGATGATCCTGCACAAAAGTGAAATATATTGTTGTTGTACATAATTGAAAAAAAAAAAACCTTGAAGCTAGTTATCAAAATTATATTTATAATCATTGTATCATTAACATTCATTCTAGATACATGTGTGTCATTTTTATATTGTTGTTTACTTTTAGGAATGAAATCATATGTTTAATGTTTTATTATGAAAATGTGCTAATTTTTCAATTTTCATAAACGCACAAATTTATATACGAAACATCTGAAACGTAAGACTTTTTTAATCTATTCATTCTAATATGGTATATTAAATATTAAAAATGTAAGATGGTAATAGAAAGTAAAATAGCAAAAATACCGAACTCGAAGGAAAATTCAAAACAGAAAGTCCTTTATCAAATGGAAAAATCAAAAGCTCAAACACATCAAACGAATGGAAAACAACTGTCATATTCCTGACATGGTACAGGCATTTCCTTGTGTAGAAAATGGGGGATTAAACTTGGTTTCACAAGTATATATATATAACTTTATCCTTATTTGGTATCATTAGATTGTGCATTGTCTCTCTGTACAAGTCTAAGTGAACATAGTACTATATAGGATAAGATCGATTGTGAAGTGTAAATTTTACAATATTTGCAAATATGCATTAGCTGTATCATTGTTTAAGGAAACGCATTTACTGTAAAAGATATGTTGTATCATTTTTTTTGTTGATTTCCATTATGGAAAACTAAAGATATTTGTGCATTTGTTTTAACTTTAATTTTTGTTTAACTAGAATATTCTAGTATACAGAGATCATATGTTTTAAAATCTTATTACACTCTACTGATTTTACAAACCTTTTATAGACAAGATTGGAAAGAAATTGATTGTGTAATGTAATTCTACTCTTTATAATTGATTTCTTTGAATAATTTATTCTTTGAACAGAAATCTTTTAGAACATTTTTAAAAAGTTTTAAAGGAGAATGATGGGCACTAAGAAAGTCGGAGAAACGTCACGTTCTTTAGAGGATCCAAGCAAAACAAATGATCCTAAGAAGAAGAACATACGACAAAGAGACGTCCTTGCTGCAATGCTGGTTGGATATATAGTGGGAATACTGTTGATGATGATGATACATTTTATACTTCAGAAGAAATGTGCAAATTGTACCTCGGGAAGTACAACAAGCTCTCTTGGTAGTAAGTTCTATAGACTATTTACTCATGTATCTACACTTTAAAGGGAAATTACTTTTTTTTTTAAATGTATCGGATATTTTTAAAAACAAATCTTGCATTGTTCTTCATCAGGGGCGTAGCTACTCGGAGGCACGACAGCACGTGCATCCACGTCATTTTCACACAAAAAAAAACAGAGAGAGAGAGAGAGAGAGGGACAAAATTAACATATAGGAATTGATCTTTCTATGTATGAATTTTAAAAACTACGCAAAGAATAAAAGCAAGAGGAATACACATGCAGCAAAATTTTTAATCCTTTAAGACATGTATATGTACGATAAATACATACAACTGGTGTAAACTTAGCGGAACTTTTTATATTACGGGCATTATTTAGAAAATACCACCTAGTACATAGTTGCTGGTACCACCACCATAACGTATATTCGCCTTGGGTGCAAAAAAAAACATCATCCCTTTAGGGTTAACAAAAAAATTGAAAATTATTATTTTTCGCTTCGCCCCAAAGCACACAAATTACTAGAACGAAGACTCTTCAACTCGTATCGATCCGGGGAAAATTACAGTTACTTTGTGAACTAGTTCAAAACTGACCAAGTATGTAGGTCTTGACAACATCACGTCAACGTATTCTCGTCCTGGTGTGCATGTAATATTTGCTACGGGACATTAATAACCATTCAATCAATCAATAGTTTCCGTATACTTGCAGTTGAGAAGTTGGAACTGCTGTCATTATAAAAAAAAGTACACATTTTCCAGTACATGCATTACGTTTTTATCTATTTTACAAAATAAACCATCTTGTATATAGATTCGATAATTCGAAATAGTTTCTATATGGGCCGGCTATTCGAATAGTTGATTGTGAAGGCATTTAGATAGATTGTTAATTCTAACTCGTTTTACTGGACTATTTGGTTATTCAATTTTATAATGAATTTTCTGTCCGAGTATATTAATTAGCTGGATAATTAACAAACGCAGATCATAAAAGATCGTCATCAAAGTACCATTCCCTCTGAAAAAGTTCATTAATTTCAACATCGAGAATTCTTAACTGCGTAAAATTAGAAATTCCTATCTCTCTCTTGTAGAGTTTAACCACAAAAATTTTAAAACATCTAAATACATATGTTAAGCAGTATATTGGAGTATGTGTCCACCAAGTATTTGGTATCCAATGATGTTTATGCTAACAGAAACTCCACATATAGAATTGTGTTTATGTCTATTGTTTGTTTTTTATACATCTAATTTGCTCAATACAAATACTAGCATATGGAACAAATCTCCGTGATTTTAAAAGCTCTCACAGCGTACAAAAAACGAAAACGACAATGTTTATTTCATTCGATTCGAAGTTGAACAAATAGTTGCCCTAAAAAAAACACAACAAAGATGACCAAGTTTTATTACGGTTGGGATTGTTTTGAAACGCTATATATGCGGAGCTTTTGGGGGCTTTGCCTCCCTAGTCCCCCTACCAGGGCTTTGCCCTGGACCTCCTGGGGGAATAAGGCGGCCCCAGAACCCTCGCCCTTTAGTTTGTGATTCCACTTCATTAAGGAGGTAGCTACGCCCCTGTTCATAAATATGTACACATATGGCAGCGCTTGTAAATGCTGTCTCAATAATTATACGATTGCTTAAAACGTTACGTTGTATTATTTGAAAAATACCATGAAAACACTGACAATGTCCATCATATATAAAAAGTAGGACTTATTGATATTGTTGTAGGATTTTTTTAAATACTTAACTATGTGTAAGCTGTGCTAAAACATTTTATTTACTTTTTTAAAACATAATTTGAAATAAAACGAATATTACACATGACTGGCATACGCACAACTAGTGTTTATGTGACAACCTTCTTCTGCTTCGCTTGTGGTTTTGTTAGAAAAGACAAAAAATATAAATCATTTCTTAACATTAAACCCTACAAAAGACGAAATAGTTATTAAAGATTAATATCGTAACGATTGTGCTCCAAAATATTATAATTGGAAATTCAAACAATGATTGTTGATAAATTTTAATTTGTTGAAGATCGCTAGCAGAAGAAACATGGTTGTTGCATAAATATTATAAGAAACGCCAAATATACCACATAGAAAAAACAGATCACATCACTTTTGGAGTATATGTCAGAAATTAAAATTTTAAAGTAAACTTTACAAACAATAGATAGAAACTTTACCAAAAAAAGATGAAGCGTGACACGTCTGGTATAAGCAGATACACATAACCTCAAAACGGAGAGAAACATAGTGTGTTGACAAGATAAGCATCCCATGGAACGGAAGCTTCGTCCTATTAAGACTATTCCAAAATGAAAATAACACTTATGAAGTATGAATTCCGATACTAGGAGAAAACTCGCAACGTGGGTTTTTAAGTATATAATGATACATATGTTAACTAATAATATTGAAATAAATGCAAAAAAATATTATATTTTGATATAAAAGCTTGCGTATCTCCTACTTTCGTATTCTAATATGTGTCATTTTGGAAAATTTTGTAGACTACGATTTTATTTCAGATGGACTGCAGGACTCATGTTTTGAAGGATGGATTATATTAGCTGGAGAGAAGACTTGTTTCTTTGATAGCTATTTCGACGTAAACTGGACAGTTGTAGAGCCGGTAAGTTCGTATTTTGTAATGATATTCATGCAAATATCACCTGCTAACTTTACTCGCAGTTAATGTTTACATGTCATTTTCTAAGTATGTATCTGACATATCTTGTTTGTGTGGCAAAAAGATTGCGATTCACAACTAATGCCTAATCCACATTGATGGCCATATCTATAGTTGTGTATCAGTAGTGTTCATTTCTATCACCCCTTTCCAGTTTGCATAAGTGTTAGTGGTCAGTGCATATAGTGTTTTCTTCGTCCGCACGTCAGTGCTTTTGAAATTAAACAGTTGTCCGGACATTTTTTATTTTGCTTTGAACATTAGTGTAACTATAATGATGACTTACGGATCGAGTTTCGTTCTAGTTGACCTACTTTTCACAGAAATAACAGCCCTTGGAAAATTTCATATCCAACTTTTTTTCTGTTCTATAACTTTAACAGAACTATTATAAACTGATACAGTGTGGTTGAACTTTTGAACAAATTAACGGCATTCATATCGATAAATTGTGTACCCTTTCCAGACTAGTCTACTTTCTCTCGTTCTCGTGCTAAGCTTTAACTGTTATGTTATGTGTGAATGTAAACGTTTAGGTAAAGGCAGATCTAAACTGCAAATAATGTTACGTCAATCAAATAAAAGACAACACTTTCTTACACCTTTCATATATCATGGGGCTCCAGTTTCATATATATCCACTTCTTCTATATATAAATTTCTATTCAATTTAATCAAATAACTGAATTAACTTTACCGCGGGGTATAATACAATACATATACTACATACATTTGTGAATAATGTACAAAAACCAAAGAAATAGCTTGGATGACTACCTTTTGTGGTTATATATTTCCTTAATCTAAAGTTTTCAAGTACAACGTTGTTTGAAGAATTAAATAATCTACCGCGTTTTTAGGTATTTAGGTTTGAACAATAATAATCAGTTGGAAAAAATTATATCACTATTTGAACAGTACTAGGCATAATGTAGTGGTATTCGTCACCGATGTCATTTGATTCACAGATGTTGTATTTTCTTTCATTTGTTGCAGATTCATTCCATATTTTCGTCTCAACTGTCAAGTGATTACTTCAACGAATAAAATTGGAAACAAAATACATGGTTATATAAAAAATTATATGGTAAAATAAAAGCATATTTTTTTTAATTTATGATCACTTTTACCACCCATTTGTCGACTTTTCAATTATTCCTATATGCCAAATATTTGACATTGAAAATCTAAAATAGTTTTCATTCACATTATCCACTTTGTTTCAAATAATTGTTTTAGTAAATTAAAAGCAATTTATCAAACTATGAGACGACTTATTTACCATTTATAATTCTTCTCGTGTGCCAACTTCTGAATAGACTACTTAACTTACAGTTGGCAGTAAGATGCAAATAGCATAGATCAAAACTTACAATGCACCTATTCTAATAATCTAAGTTATCGAAGTCAATTACTTCTGATGCCGTTTCAATCTTTTCAAATAACCTATAAAAAAACAAATCTATTCTCAGAATACCATACATATCTTTCTTTGCATGTTCCTTTTAGTATATCATTGTGGAAGGAAATGATCCACTTTACCTGAACAAAATCTTAAATATTTGTATTCCTTCACTGTTTCATTTTGCTCAAAAGCAATGTCAATCCATCTGAAATATTTTCTTTAGAAAAGTCTTATTAATAATGATTTTCAAATGCCAATATTTACATTATATTGCATATTCATCCGACATAGACTGTATAAATAAAACCTGTTGTAAAAATATAACAGTATCATCAGCCTATATAAATATATATAGTTATTATATATATTTACCTTACATAAAGATTTCAGATGAAAAGAATTCAATACTATATTATTTCTATTTCAAAAATAACTAATACGAGAGATGGAAAGAGTTTTTCCCGGTCTTATTCCCAGTTCGCAAAGGATTGTCGGACCCATGTAATTGTGAATTCGTAGGTGATTTTGCATTCAATGCATTATCATACAACTTCTGTATATCTCGAAAGAATGTTCCGTTCATGTAACGTTACCTTCGAGTAATTTATATTCGCAAAGGCTTATGCAGTAAGGAGGAAAATAGTTTACCAAGTGTTGACAAAAGAGTATTTTTACAATAGTTGCGAGGATCCAATTGTCATCTTTGATTTTAAACAAAGGTATATTGCTTTACATTTTTTTAAACAGGCAAGATTACTGTTCAAACTTTAGAATAGAGAGTCGAAAGATACCAAAGGAACATTCAAACTCATAATTAGAAATCTTTTTTTTGTTTCAGATAACAAAAACCTGAATCTTTATCTGACTCAGCTCTAGGGGCTCCTTCACTTATTGAAATACGTCCTTCAACTTTTCAAAAGAATTGGTATATCAATTGAGTTATCATTCAAACATTCCATACCGCTTAACAAAATTAAAGTACTGTTTTTTTTAATTGTGAAATGGATACATTTTGTATATATATATGGTTCTTATCTACAATGATGATTAACTCAAATATATTTGTCGATATCAAAATAACTTTTAAAGTGATGCTAACGTCGTGCTTTATGTTTTTATTTCATCTATTATTAAAAGTAATATTGATTTGAAATATATAAAACAGCATTTTAAATTTGAAAACTAAATGTTTATGCGTGTTGCCTAGTACTGCGAAAACTTCATAATAATTTTTCTTCTTAGCTATCAGATCTATGAATAAGAGGCGTATTAAGTTCCTACTTTAAACATGTTGAATTAATGATGTAAACGCCTACATAGATCCACAAACAATTTTCAAATTCCCAAAAAGCATTTTATTTTACATTTCGTCAGACATTTAGATTTGTCTACCCTTGAAATTTTGTAGTCACATTTAATTGACACTGCTATCGATTCCTAAATAACTGTTCATGTCCGGTCAAATGTTTATGGTCTTGCGTTTTTAAACTTCATATTCAATATCCCAACCCTTAGAAAAATGGTCACACCACTGTCCCAGGTTAGGGGAGGATTGGCGCCTTCAAACATGTTTCACCCCGCCACATTCTTTATGTGCCTGTCCCAAGTGAGCAGACTGTAGTGCAGTAGTTGTCGTTGGTTCATGTCTGTCTTGTTTGTTTTTCGTAAATTGTTTTGTAAAAATTAGGCCGTTAGTTTTTCTCATTTGAATTGTTTCATATTTTTCATGTCGGGGCCTTTTATAGCCCACTATACGGTATGGGTTTTTCTCATTGTTGAGGGCCGTACGGTTGCCTAATATTGCTTACATCCACTTCATTTGAATTTTGGTGGATAGTTGTATCATTGCATGGTAATCATACCACATCTCCTTATTTATATATATAGTACAGACAACTATAGCTATCACTGGAGACCATATGTTGACCTGTTATTTCATTCATTTTTGTCCATATTAGATTGCTGTCGCATTGGTGTATCCCACGTCTCTTTTCATTTACATAAAAAGTAAATTAATGGATGTCTGAAAATCAATATTGAAACTATAGATGCCAATTTTTTGCCAAACAGTATGCCATTTATTTACAAACTATGACACTTTTTCAATGAAGACACTTGTTTGCACTGCATGGTGAATAAGATCTGTTAAACAAAACTTTTAGAAAAACGTTATAAAAAATGAAAACAACACTTTTTATATTGCATACATCCGAAGCGCTTTTCTGGACTTAACTTCATCCGGAACGCTCAAAGTCGAATATTTAAAAGCCAAAGATGTTTAAGAAACGAAACAGCTGAAGAGCTATATGACCAAAAAGGTTCTAAAAATAATGACCAAATCCATCTAAGGTCAACTTTGCCTGGGGGAATCAGAGCCTTATTAGTTTAAACTGTACAGTCTAGACACTTAAATAAATCATCCTATTGACATTGATTTAATGTTATTAAAGAGTAAAGTGCTCAGTATCGTCTGTCTTTTCTTGTTACATAGTATGAAACCAAGATGATTATCACAATACGGAAAACAACATGTATTTAAGTGTGTATTTACATATACCAGTGGCGTAGGAGTAGACTGAAAAGTAGGGGGAGGGGCAAACTTTTGAAAGTGACAAGTGAATAAACGTGTTCTATATTCTAATAGTCTAGAAGTTAGTCAGTGTCCTCTTTCGTTTTCATTTTCTATATTCAAAAGTTTTTGTCAAAAAGGGGAGGGGCAAAAACAAAAACATAGTCCCCCACTTTTTGAAAGTGAAATGAAATTGCCACCCTTAGGTTTGATACTGTTCGTTTAGATTAAACTTTAAATTTTCACAGAATACCAAACTGTTTTGCATGGTTTTTGCTTTCGATGCCAACGACTTCTCGTATATATCTTTTTCGCCTTGTGAACATTTTCTTTGCCTTTTTATATTACTAGCAATTTTACTATATAATTTCAGGAGGCCGGTACCAACGAAGTTGATGAGTATTTTCAGAAAATCAGACAGATTCAAGGTAAATTAATACTGGACGATAAGGGATCTAGAGCCTTGCCTTTTATCGAAATAAAAAAAAAATCACGTAAAACATCTACAAAATTAAGTCTGGAAACCCCTTATTTTAAGTGGAGCTTCCTAGAACTCCCTTTTAGAAAATCTATATTATCGTTTGTATATCGCGAAGAATGTGATTTATACAATTTGATTAACATACAGCTTCTTTGTCCACGCTTTGCTTACAAATATCTGCCAACGATCCGTTCTACTTTCTGATTAAACAATCTTTCAGGGTCCTCCGAGTTTTGCTGTAATGATGCACACCTTCAAAAAACTTGAAGGCAGAAATTTCATTGGTTTATTTAATAGTAGTTAAAACAGAAAGTAGAACGGAGTGTTTTTGGATCATTGTAAGGGAAGCGTGGAAACGGTCTGAATTGCAATCAAATTGTGATTAATATATAACTGTTTGTCCTTTTTAGATATCAATGATGATATACTTTGTTTGTCCTTTTTAGATATCAATGATGATATACTTGTTGGCACTGTATTTAACAACGACAGAGGATTTTACCAATGGATAGGTGGATCTGGTTCCAACAATGGCACCCTACCTGCAGCTAACAATACCGTTGCCTCACCAAACGCTACAAACATCTGCGTGAGTGACCTTCAAGAAGCGCCTATTGAATGGGGATTGAATCTGTTGGGAGCAGAATCAAATGACACGTGCTTCATTTCGTGAAGTTAGAAAATAGAAAACTCATCTGTATATATTCTGTACATAGCATTAACTTCGTAGATTTTTTATTGCATTTCTTTGGTGTATCATTAAAATGTATCTGTTTATCATTTATAATAAAAAACGTAGTTAACTTTTTAAACATAGTTCTATGCAAGGATTGCATCAATAATGAAACTGATTTTAAAAACATCCTATCTTTACTTTCAAATTGATTTAAAAAAGCAATTTTTTGTCTTCCTCACAAGCACGAAAAATCGCTGCCGAAAAATTCCAACCACTTAAACATGATAAAGTGATTCGTGCCTGAAATATTTGATTTTAATACTCCAAATATCACTGACCATCAATCATTTTTCTGTTATGAGACGAAAAAATAACAAAGAAACTTTTTCCTTATGATTTCTGCACATTCTCAAATCATTTCATTGTAAAATAGTTACATATTTTTGTTGTTTTATTTTTCAAATTACACTTCGTTTGCAAATACCATTAAAATGTTATTATCTCATTATATATCAGTGCTTGCTGTTGTAGTTTTTACCATTGGTTCTTCCTGTTATATTGGACGAGTTTCTTAATTTGTTGTTCGCTATTGATTTATAGATGATTTCACTTGATATGCGTAGCTAAGGGACATAACTCTGAAAATCACTGGTACGTTTGTGTCAAACCATTTCAAACATATATTCTAACCTTCTTATAAACACAGATCATTTAAAATCTGAATCACAAGAATGCTGAATAGTTATCAATGAAACTGTCTATTACAAACACTTTACTGATTTTATCTCCCATAAGCCAGGTGAACCCCCTACTACAACGTCGGTAAATTAATTATTTGGATGCTAGATACTCGTTCAATCATACTTTTGTAAATGAGAAATCAATAGTGTTATTCAGCAAGATTTTTCTTCAATCAGAGAATGAACTTAACGATTTTTTTCACCCGATGTAGTATCAAGATTTGTTTGGTATACAAAGTTATTTTTAAATAGTCACCTTTTTCCGAAATCTTACTCAACTTTACATTGTTTTTCTCTTCAATCAAACATGTTTGCATCATATATCTATTTTCATTTCATATTAATTTGTATTTCTCGTCCCTTTTTAATGTTTATGATAAAATATATGTTTATCTATTACTGAGTTTGTTTTAATATATCTCAAACCTATACTGCTATGGGGCATAAACCTGAATGTCTTAAAATGTTTACGTTTATTTCAAAATAGGGAAGCTAGGTAGGGAGTGTATGTATATTGGTTTTTTTTTTTTGTTCGATGTGTGATTACTATCACATAATGTTTGAGCAAATATCTGGTAAAAAATATTGAGTATCAGTCTGAAAAAAACCATCACATGCCGCTTTCACTGACCAAATTATCACAACTGTCTTGATGCTGGAGCAAATAAATGATAAAACTGGCACATGATGATTGGGTGACGGATAAACTATCCAATGCTGCTTATCGAGTAACATAAACTTTCGCATGCTACTTGATCGAGTAATTGAACAAATATCACAAACTTCGTTAACAAGTTACTTGATGAACTATCACATGCTGCTTTATTGAGTAACTGATAAAACTATCGCATTTTGCGTAAACGGGTAACTTATCAACTATCACAAGGTGCTTTATCGAGTAATTTATCAACTATCACATGCTGCTTTTCTGAGTAACTGATAAAACTATCACATGTTGCGTAAACGGGTAACTTATTAACTATCACATGCTGCTTTATAACTAATTAAACCATCATATGTTGCGTTAACGAGTAACCTAACAACTTTCACATGCTGCTTTATCGAGTGACTGATAAAACTATCACATGTTGCGTTAACAAGTAACTTATCAACTTTTACATGCTGCTTTATCAATTAACTGACAAATTATTATGCAAATAAAACGATCACAAGGTGATTTTACAAACAAAACATGCTGCTTTTACTGACAAAATGCACATATACTTAAAAAGCGAACAACGTATATAACCCGTCACTCACTCACATGTAGATCTTGTGCTAGTCTGTGGCTCCCTACGGTCGTCGATCACTATGAAGATTACTCTGCAACCAAGCCCTATAGTAATTTATGAATATGCTACAAATATGGCAAGATTAAGGATTAATTACTTTCCTGCTAGACTAACTAACTTTTTTGTATAAAACAGGTTAATTTCTATATTTGGAATGTTTAATCCATCATCTCTTGACTACATAACTTATTTCGTATACGCACAAAAAAGGGCGACCCTCCCAGAACTTTTGAAAAATTGCAGTCGGTATTTCAAATTTTAAAACACAAGGCTATGCGATTCTTTCCAAGCGCTATAGGCCTGATAAGAAATTTATTTCAATTTCGAGTTGAAAAAAGATCTTTGATAGTTGTTTTACAACTTTTGTAGACTCGGTGATGAGATAAGCTTTGTATCTTATACAGACAGTCGTCTATTATTGAACTGCTTACGTGTAGATAATGGAAAGAAATGATATACCGTAATGGCAACGTGTGGCTTTCAACCAGGAGTAAAGGTTCACGCCGCACTTTAAGTTTAAGATTACCGTTAACATCGTTCAGATGTCTTTTGTGATGTTGGGTTGCTGTTTCATTGAGCAAATCCCACTAATAAACTAAAGAACTCCGGTCCTCCGAAAGGGTAAATTATTCTTGCTACAATAGTGACATCTATCGTGTTATACAAAAGGCAAATAAATCTTATACGGTGCTATACGTGTGTAATCAACGAACTAATGAAAGGATACAAAAAATTACATATCGTGTGTGACGGATATCCAAAAAAAGGCTAGGAAATTCGTGTTGATGGTAAAACTTCGTATAGTAATGATGTCGATTTTATCATTAGGAACCTTAATTTGGTAAGATGTGACCCTCTATCAAAGAAATCTTGCTTGGAAGCACAAGCTCAGTTGTGTTTATCACCTGAACGATATCGTATTCAGTTGCATTTTAGTTCAAAAAGAAAAGGTTAATTAAAAAAGAGAGCATACATTTTTAAAAGTCAATGTTTTTTTCGATGTTTTACATGATTCTGACTGCTGTTTTCACACGGCATTAGACCTTATTTACATGACAGCTATGTACTCTATAGTTAACAAAATTAAGTTCATCGGATATTCGTGGTGGTGTCGGGTGTACATATATCATTAAGCAGGTGATGCTGGAAGGTTGCAATATATAAATGGAAAATTCACAATTGGAAAATTGATAAGCTTTTTTTTTTGCAGAGTTAAGCAAACAATGCATTACCTTGCGAAAAACAATTGTAGAGACGACCATATTTAGTGACCTTGTACTAACGATGCTACACTTATCGTCAATACTAATTAGCAATAACAGCCGTGGTTTACCGGTGATGTTATATTAGCTGCACATCTCAAATAAATCTTTTAAGAAACAAGAAAATGCAGCTGAGACATAAACATTGGCCGCTTTATATAAGCTTAGTCGTTTCAGCAGCTAACAGGGAAATAACAGGAATTTAAATGCATAAAAAGAACACTCACATTATTTCTTCAAAAATAATTATTTAACTTCTTCTTATGAGACGTAAGATGATGATGGGTAAGGGTTGGAGTTTAACGTCCAGTGACAGATATTACATGCGTATCAGCACGAGAACACGTTAATGTGATATGAATATTAACCCTGCTTTGTACAATTAAGATCGACATGCTAAGGCGGATTTTTGATGTGGTAGTTCAAAAGGTAGCAGTCCACAGGAAGACATGTCACCCTATCCGGATACATTACTAGAATTCTGACTCCGAGATGTCCAGTGTTGGCTCTAAATCTTGGTTTGGCAGAGAATAAGTAAGAGAAGTAACACATACTAATTTTCAAGTCTTTGGTTTGACCAGGACTGGAATCGAACGCACGACAACCCGCACTCGAGGCGACCATGCTACCACGTTACCAGACGTAAGACTACTCAACAGAATCACCATTACGCGAAACAACTTTTGGGACGACTGATAAATTTTCATGAGCAAAACTATATGAAAACGTTTAATTATAATTCTAATCTTAGAAATATGTGCAAATGTAATTATGTGTACATCAACATGAAAAGAAACCATTAAATGATCACTCGAGTTCGTCAAGCAGTTTAATATGCAAGTCTGTCAAAATAAACTATAAGGCTCAAATAGGAAGGACTGGCAATAATCAATCACTTTTCAACTCATATTTGGATTGAAATGATGCACAATAATAAATTTAAAGTGTTCGTGCTTGGAGCAAGTGTTTTGTAAGAAATTTAACATGTTACTAGTATTTGCAATCACTGTGGTTCAGCCCAGAATTGAAGTTCATCCTATAGTTGGACCCTATTCAGGAACCAACGTAGCGGGGTGATCCAGCCAACTAAAAAAAAACAAGCTGGGGGAAATATTTGTTTTGAATTGCAACGTCCGAACATGACGAATGAAGACCGGGCGAAACTATCGTTTTCAGTAATTTTTCTTGCTCAAAGCAGATTAACCAGAAAAAAAATAATAAACGGGACCTGTAATGTTTTACTCGTTTTTCAATTAAATGCCTCTATTGCGGTCTGACAATGTGGCATAGAACTTGTCATTTTCATGATATTTTTCAGTCAAAATGATGTCATGAAGTAAAAAGCCAATCAGCAATTCATATGTCATCTGTAACTACTTATTACACGAAATGGATGCTTTCTCGATTTAAAAGATAGAAGGGTAAAGTTTTGAATGAGCTTATATGATGTAGCTGGTCCAGAATACCTGCATATACGAGCTTCACCGCTAATTAAAAAGTATTGGCTACTGATTGAAAAGTGTTATTTCGCCCTTCCATTTCGATCGGAGATTACTATATAACCTATTTGAAGTGAATATCGGAAGCATGAAGTCCTCAGAACAAACGAAAAACATGTATATCGTATTGAACTAAGTCCAGAGCTAACTTGACACCAGAGGTGTATCAATAAAATGCTGCGATGGTCCACCGAGACAAACTATAGTAGCTTTGATATTGGCCTATGCCTGATTAAAGGGACCATTTAATATTCGGGCTAGGTGAAAATCAATATTCTGGCCTGGTAAGAACAGAAAATGAAAAGTAAAGCTGCAAAACAAAAACGAGACTCACCCTCAAAGTGGAAATGAATAATAAGAATAAGATAAGAATAATAAGAAAATTTTATTTTGATATTCGGCATTTATAAAATTATTTAACACAAACTCGAGAGAGCTTTCGAACGAACATAAAAACAAACTTTTCCCAGCTGAAGCTCTCCTCAGGTGCGGGATTTTCTCTCTGCGTTTAAGACCCATTGGTGGCGTTGGGATGTTTTCTGCTCTTTGGTCGGCGGGGTGTAGTCTCTTTGACACATTCTCCGTTTCCCGGCATTCTCAATTCTAATAATAACAACATACATTACATACACAAAATTGGCATTCATATGTGCATGACTTAAATTAGTTTAACATGTTTAAGCAAATTTGAAGTACAAAAATGTATGATAAAAGTGTACTCTACTAAAAAAAATGAATAAGCACTAAGAAAATTTAGACTGATATCTATAGGTAAAAATCGTGATAAAATTTGATATTTAAAAGCAAAGAAATTGAAATTCATTAACTAGCATTAAAAAAAAAAGAGTATGAGCAACTTTAAATCTGATGAAATATATAGACTGAAGATGCATGTGCCGGATAATAAAAAACTAAAAAAAATTAAAGCCCGGCAGACCTCAAATTTTGGTAAACTTTCAATAATTTGGTCTGCTAACAAAGACCCAAGCGGGGACCCATGCGGCAATCGCCTCTCTGAATCTTCGCTTAAATATTTACCAAATGGTCGTCCCCTTTATATAGATGCAAACAAACCTTTGAAAATAAACTCAAGCCTACTAGGGGGTGTTTAACGATCTTGGCTACCCATGACGGTCTCGCACGGTCAATAATTGAAAGATTAAATTATAAAAAAAAATAGAACTTAACTTAACTTTAAAAATAAATAAAATAAAAGAACAAAAATTTCGACATACAAGCGCTTTTAAATGTTTGCGGGAAGAAGTCAAGGAAATGTAACTCCCTTCATTCAAACGCACAGATGATCTGGCCTCGTTCTGATTTTGGGAAGGACGCAGTGGATGTTGCCTAAGAATATACTTAATTCATTACACAGCTTTAATTTATGGTAATATTTATCATTCTATTGATTACTTATTTTATTTTAACATTTCGGATTACAACGGTACAAAAAAAGAAACAGACAAAAACAGTTATGTGAAGAACATCATGGGCGCGTCGGTCATTGTCCGTTTGTCTCTGTCATGGCGGCGTTTGGCATGAGACGTCAAAAAACCATTCTTTTCGATAAAAGAAAAATCAACTTTCCTTCGGCTTCAATAAAATTGCTTGGACCGCGTTTACTATAATGTTATCTATCAATGACTACAATACACAAAACTCAGCGTTTAGAGAAATGGCAAAAAGTTCTAACCATTTTCTTCGGTTCTTCCTCTTGGGTCATCAACGACTCAGTGCATGACCAAAAACCAGTGATAACACTTTGAAATAAGGACAAGTCCCTAAGAACTCGAATAGGAAATTTTTATTTTACCTCAAGGATGTACATAACTATCTTAGTATCTATTTCCTTACTACACTTCAAACAATAAAATTTCTGATATGAAAAAAGCTCTCTTGAAATTCATAGCAAGTGATATTAAAATAATAATTCTTTGGTTTGATTATCAAAGTCATTTGATCCTTGAAATTAAAGAAAGATGATACTAGTTTTACTAGTCAAACTAATTATGAGTCTAAAATCTAGTTTTGCTGTGACGTCTTATAACTATAAGACATCATAATTATTTGGACTAATGTTTTACATGGCCCAAGAACACAGTGGCGTACATGTAGCTAGGCCATTTTCACGCCCGAACCTGAGACATTGAAGGGTTTGAGGTCCTCTACGCTGATCCAGGGCAGAAGACCTCCTGGTATGGGTGAAACCGCCTGGAAGTTCTTGCGTTATTGAGAAAGAGATACAAATATCTGTCATTAAAAACTCATCAGTAGCAACATACTTGGTGGGTTCAAAACAAAGAGTTACGACAAATTAAATTTATGATTTCAGCTTGCAATTGTGAACTTTTCTTTTCTATGTAGCAACAATCTAGCAGCATCTGCATATGGAGTATATACCTCCCAGTTGATAAGATATTCCAGAGCTTGCATTTCCTATCATCATTTCCTTGATAGATGGTTGCATGCTGCTTACAAGGAAGCTATACTGAACAAGAGTATGAGGTGGAAATCATCCCTTTGAAAATTTTACGGTCAACTTCACAAGTAGGTTGACCATTATGAAATATCTGTTTCAAAGATTGCTAATGACGATGGATATGTTTCAATTGTTGATATTACCACAATCCCGTCCTCTTTTCCTCGAATGTGATCATCCGAAATAGACTTATCACTGGTTTTGTACTTACATCACCAACACGACGGGTGCCACACGTGGAGCAGAATTTGCTTACCCTTCCGGACCATCTGAGATCACCCCCCGTTTTTTAGTGGGGTCCGTGACAGTCTTTTGTTTTGTATACTGTTGTTTGCCTTTTCATAGTTTTTCGTTTTTTTTGCCATGGTATTGTCAGTTTGTTTTCAACTGATGAGTGAATATCCCTATGGTATCTTTCCCTTCTTTTTTAGAGTCTAATTTGGGTTTTTTTTATGTTAGATTTATACATTGTGTTGATTTGGAATCTAATGGTCATTTATCATGTTTATTTGAGAGAAAAATGTCCAAACCAGTTTTGAAAAAAAATTTGGAAAGGAGATGTGGGGTAAACAATCAATTGACAAAAAATTTAAAATTTATAGAGATAGTATAGAAAAGTAAGTCTCCATTTCAATGTTGTCGTTCTATTCATTTTTTGACCTTATCCATGTTATCTAATTATTTACTCACTTTTTACACTCAAATTTCATTAATGGACACATGTCCTAATTAATTTTCATAGATGGTAAGGTGTAACGTAAAAATAAATATTGATCAAACTGTAATATAAAAATGCAAGCCACATCGTATCTCAGCAGATAATGAATTTTAACAGTAGAATTCACATTAAATTCAGACTTTGACAGAAAATGAACAAATATATAATATTACATATGAAAACAACACTTTATTAATTTCATGCGTCCGAAGCGCTTTTTCTGGATTTACCTTCTCCAGGAACACTCAAAGCCGAATATTTGAAAGCCGAGGATGTATAAGAACCGACACAGTTGCAGAGCTATATAGATATAGGAAGATGTGGTATGAGTGCCAATGAGACAACTCTCCATGCAAGTTACAATTTATAAAAGTAAACCATTATAGGTCAAGGTACGGCCTTCAACACGGAGCATTGGCTCACACCGAACAGCAAGCTATAAAGGGTGACCAAAAAGTACATAAAAAAATAGCCAAATTCACTCAGGTCAACCATGCCTGAGGGAGTTTAAACCTAAGTTTCTTTATAATTTTAAAATTTATAAACGGACAATTTTAGAAAGGTTTTTTATAAATCTTGTCAGTACCGAAGTTCTGACTACTGAACTGATGATACTCTCAGGGACTGATAGTCCACCAGCAGAGGTATCGACCCAGTGCTGTAAAAAATGAAAACAACATGTTATTAATTTCATTCATCTGAAGCGCTTTTCTGGATTTACCTTCATCAGGAACGCTCAAAGCCGAATATTTGAAAGCCGAGGATGTATAAGAACCAATTAACAGTTGCAGATCTATATGACCAAAAGGTACCTAAAAAAATTTCTTCAAATTTTTATGTGCACGCCCGTGCGTTTTGACGTAAACGTAGCTACATGTATGTGCATGGAACACAGTTATTTCATAGTGCATTTGTTGTAGACAATGAATTCAAATTAGAATTAAAAACTAAAAACAACTGAAGGTCTTCCGATCATGGAATATCTATATCATTGATAAGAAGTCACTTCAGGTTTACTCAAAGTTACCACTTGCATCAAATCATAGGTTTTTTCATATGGTTTTTATATACTTTTGCCTGAAATAAGGGAGATAATTTGCAACTTCAGGTTAAGAACATGTCACTTCAGTCTTCAGGTATATGATAACTTATGATATTCACACTGATTCAAAAAATTTATGGTTTCGATGTATTTTTGCCTGAAATAAGACAGTAAGAGAGATAATTAGCTATTTCTGGTTTGCAGAGGGTCACATCAGGTCTTAATGATAGGTTTATGCATGCTGAATAAAAAATATATTGTTTCTAGGTATTTTCCATGAAAGAAAAAAAATTGCTACTTCCAGTTTATTAATGGTCACTTCCAGTTTAAATCTCCAAACCTAATACCAAAGATCCTATGGCTTTATCATTCACCATGTTCACCAGTATGAAGTTATGGCAAAGATCAAAATTTTGAACGCTTAATTCACATTTGACCTTGACCTCAATTTCAAGGCCTTAAAGGAAGAATCTCAAATCAATATACCCTAGGGTTCTACTACATGTATGTATGGTTCATAAGTTATATTACCATATAACTTATTTTGAACTTTCCAAGGGAGAAAACTTCTATTCAAAAGCATGATACTTTTTGACCAAAATTTTATAGTAACTACATGTCGCAACGAACAACTTGGTAAACATTTTTGTCATTATTCATAACGGTTTGTGAGGAAAAGCAAAAACAATCAAAATTAAAAATTTAGATCATGACCTTGACCTCAAATTTTTTTTTGGTGGACCAAGGACATCAAATCACATTACCCTACGATGTAGGTCTCTATAACTAACAGTTTATGAGTAATATTTATATATAACTATGTCAAATACAGAATTGGTAATAACTTTCATATGGAGTCTCTGTATCGCTTTGGTCATAATTTAACAGAACATCCTGCAATGTCCTGAGGAAATAATGAGCAATTTGGAAATATTTTTTTTTTCTTATTACTTATAAGGTTGCAAAGGAGTAGACATATATGTAACAAGAAAAACAGTGTACAGGGAGATAACTCTCACAGGAGAAAGTGTACAGGTAACACAGGGTCAACTGCTAAAGGGTATTTATTATTCGATATCATACATGTGCAAAAACCTTTTCTTGCAAAACATAAAAAAATCTCAACATCAAAGAGTGGCAGAAGAAAAAAAATAATCAGAACAAAATCAAGGTTTTTCCACTGGAAAGGGGAAAATCCTAAAAATTGCACCTGGTCTATCTAAATTAATGATATTTATAGTGTAGTGTACCACTTTTAGGACAAATTAGTTTGACAGCTTCAGACATACTGATTTCTGGCATTTTTCAACTGGGTCAAATCACTACTTTTAATACCTTAAAATTCATCACCCAATTTTTTATACGACCGCAAAATTGCGGTCGTATATTGGTATGACGTCGTTGTCGTCCGAATACACATTGGTTTTCGCACTCTAACTTTAGTTTAAGTGTATGGATCTCTATGAAATTTTACCATAAGGTTCAATACCACAAAAGGAAGGTTGGGATTGATTTTGGGGGTTATGGTACCAACAGTTAAGGAATTAGGGGCCAAAAAGGGGCCAAAAATAAGCATTTTTGTAACTTCCAGACATAACTTTTGTGTTAGTGTATGGATCTCTCTGACATTGTACCACAAGGTTCCATATCACAAAGGGAATGCTGGGATTGATTTTGGGGGTAATTACCTGCAAATTTTAGGAATTAGGGGCCAAAAAAGGGGCAAAAAACAAGCATTTTTCTAGTTTCATGACAATAACTTGTGTGTAAGTGTATGGATCTTTTTGAAATTGTACTACAAGGTTCCATATCACAAAGGGAAAGCTGGAATTGAGTTTGGGGGTAATTGCTGAAATCGTTTAGGAATAAGGGGCCAGAAATAAGCATTTTTCTAGTTTCCAGACAATAACTTGTGTTCAAGTGTATGGATCTCTCTGAAATTGTACTGCAAGGTACCATACCACGAAGAGAAGGCTGGGATTGATTTTGGGGGTAATTGCCTCAAAATTTTAGGAATTAGGGACCAAAAAGGGGCAAAAAAACAAGCATTTTTCTAGTTTCAGGACAATAACTTTTGTGTAAGTGTATGGATCTTTATGAAATTGTACTACAAGGTTCCATATCACAAAGAGAAAGCTGGGTTTGAGTTTGGGGGTAATTGCCCTAAACGTTGAGGAATTTGGGACCAAAAAGGGGCAAAAAAACAAGCATTTTTCTAGTTTCCTCTGCGGTCGTATCAAGCTGCGCCCAGCGGAGCATTTTATTAACATGTTATTTCACCCCCTACTTACCATGCTTACTATCATACTATTGTATGTCAGAATAAAATTTAAAGAAATAAATTTGGAAGGTGCATTAAAAAAAAATTGCAACTTTATCACTGTCCACACATTCCACACAAGGGACTATATCTGTAGACAACGAAAAAGGAGGATAACTGTGTCCCTGGACCATATAACTGAATGGCTTATTTTAATTATAAAACATGAAAACATAGTTAGAAATATACATACATGTATACTTTCTTTTAAAAGAAAATCCTTGAATTTACTCATACATGCAGGGTTCTCAGTCATGTCAGTCACTAAGATTAGTCCATGAGTCCTAGACTCATCATTTTCAAAACTGGTGTCCAAAGATGCATCAAGATTTTAAAATGTATCAACTAAGCAGCAGAGCTCCAGATAAGAATTCACAAATTGGGGTTTTTACCCATCATTTTTTTATGTAATTGGGTGATAGAGTTTTTTAATTGCATTATCAATTCCGATTCACCCCTCAAGCAAATATCAAATTGGGTTTTTCACCACCAAGCTCCTTAATGTATTGGGTTTTTTCATCAACACAATATTGAATATTTAGGCATGTTATAATCACATTATATCAACCCAAGATGTTTTTCCATCTTTAATATGTTTCTTTCTTTGTATATGTGCTAGCTGTTTTGTTTGGTTTATTCACTGACGAGCAATTGTACGTTTGATTTGTGTCCCGTTTTAAACGTTCTGCCAGTTTTGTATTTTCTCGCAACTTATATAAACTGCAGCTGGTATCACTAGTTGGACAGTAACTAATTACCTTTCTAGATCCCATATGATATCCTACAGTTTATTTGGGGTAGGTGTGGCTTAGTGTTAAAATTTTATGCAATATATGTGAAATTTAGGTGCTGTAAGAAAGTTTTGCCAGTCCTTTCACCTACTTGCCAGATCTACTTTTTAATAAAAATAGTAGTTCCCAGATTTAAGATATACCCCAAAACCTTGACCAGGTTTAAAGGGTGGTTTAATTACAGACACCACATTCAACCTCAATTTACAAATAATTCTGCAACATCAAATAAATAAATAACTCTTGCCAATAAGACAGCTATCTTAAGCATACAGAACAATTAGACCAAAATAAAGAAAGTGTCAAGCTGCATTGACGTAAAAAAACGGATATGTGTATTCACTCATCAACTAAAAATGACTCGAAAAATAATATATAACCTAAAATTATACCTGAATGTTTTTGTTTAATTTAATTAACATAAATCTGGGTTAAGTTGTCCCTTACTAGAACTTTTGGTTTCCGATGCTTTCCAACTACATATCATGTCATAATTAATTTGGCCTTTCACTTTTCCAACTGATTTCGTTCTTGAAGAAACCCCGTGTTTATCGTTCTAGCAATGTTCTCGTTAAGGTACGCAAACACGCCCGTGCGTTCGACGGACGCTTCATAAAACACTAGCTGAGTCTTGTTATGATCATATCTTGTCCTCAGCTATCAAAAAGAAGTTGAAAACATGCTTCTATTCAATATTTTCCCCGTTCATTTACTTTCTTTTTAATTCATTGTATGTTACGATAAGTCCCGAGCAATTCGAAAAAAATATGAAACCATGACAAACGCTAATTGGATAAACGCCGAGAAGATCGAAATGTTTTCATAAACACGTGTACCTTTTGAGCAACAGAAATTCTAACAGGGACCCATTTCAGCTACTTGATGCAGGGCTCTATTTTTAGAACGAAAGGAAATTTCCAATTATAAATATTATAAAAATAGATTTACGTGACGATTGTAATTAGATAAGGGTAAATAACGCAAACGATAGCGAATAAAAGCGTTAAGAACCCATGTTTTTAGCATATAATTGGGTTTTCCTTTGAATTAATTGGGTTATTGAACCCTGCAATGGGCAATTGCATTGGGTTTTTAATCATTTGTATTGCGTGATCACGCAAATACGCAGCTTATCTGGAGCTCTGTAAGCACAAATATGATTTTATGACAAAAGTTTAAAAATAATCAAAACTTGATGTCATTTTTCTGCTTTATTTTGTCAAAATATGTGTATTTCATCAAAGATCTAACCCTCCAAGGGTAACTGGGGTAAAGAAATATGGTCACCATTGGTCTTCTCCCAACCAGCAGTTCAACCCTCGCCAAAATGGGGCATCCGTTTGGCTGTGTTGGATGTACAAGTGTGCAGCCACTTCCGGTCAGAATAGGGACATTAAATCTGATGCCTTGCGTAAAGAGAATGCCATGCTCTTTGCACATTAAAAACCCTTGCAGCAACTCTTTGAGGTCCGTAGGTTTCCTGTTGCAAGGCTAAATTTCTGTCCCTATCCAATATACCCCCTTTTTTCTGTGGCAGTCCAAATTTCCCTGACCTTCATCCCGGACGGCCTCTATTACAGCCCCTATTGTATTTATTGTTATTTTGTTCTTGTCCTGGACATGCATGAAATGTTTGCCACTGGACATTAAGCAACCAACAATCAATCAATCAATCGTGGATCTAAACTAATTGTTTTCTGCTATTTAATCATGTTAATTATAACAGTCCAAGATGCCTTAAAATTTTGGCCACACTAGGTGTTGTCTGCTTTTTGACTGTCTTCTCATGGTACGGTGTCCCTTTTTTCACATGTACATTTTGTAAAAAGCAATATCTCGAAACTATGCTCAACAAGCAAAAAAGTATCACTGTTTTACAGAAATCCTTTTCTATGAATTGTAATTACTGCTCACCTGGCAATATGAAACTTAAACTAGTATTAGTCAGAAGAGTTACAACAATTAATTTTTCATCACATACACTTATAGATATATACCTGTAGAAATTTGTGAATGGTTGTTATAACTTGTACAAAAAATAACTCAAATGGGAAGTCCATAGGCGGATCCAGGGGGCCCTTGCTCCCCATTTGTGGGAAAAATTTGGTTGTTTATATAGGGAATCACTTAAGCATGACCATTGATCTGCCACTGAAGTCATATAAAGCATCAATAGTATTTTTATAGGTCTAGGGTTCTTTTCACAAAAAATCTTACGACAATAATTGATCTAAAGCATGTAAAGTGATACTGAAATGTTCATGATGTACAAGTATTTTTATGCCATCGCAACTGAAAGTTGGGGGCATATTGTTTTACCCCTGTCCGTCCCATTACGGGTATATAGCTATTCCACATATAACTCCTCCTACAGTTTGAATGCTAGGAAGTTTTCACTTTGCTGGCCGTTGGTACATATATTGAAGGTGTGCATGTGGTCATGGTTTTGATTTTTATTGATATTTGCTCTTTTGGGAGATAGTTGAACTTTGTTATTTTTTGGAGTATTTACTTGCATTAGAGGTGCATAGCGTTTCCGGATAACTCCTACTACAGTTTGAATGCTAGCTATATATATATATAGGAAGTTTTTACTTTGCTGGCTGTTTGTACATATTGATTGAAGGTGTGCATGTGGTCAGGGTTTTGATTTTTATTAATATTTGCTCTTTTGGGAGATAGTTGAACTTTGTCATTTTTGGAGTATAGTTTGCATAAGAGGTGCGTTTCCCGATAACTCCTCCTACAGTGAACTATAGACCTATGTGCTCCCATGCTCAACTTTGTGTATTTTAAAATAACACTTTGCAATTGCATCTGCTGGGGCATCATTTGTGTCTCACAGACACAATAATATCCTACAAAAGTCCTACATTGACTTTGTTATAATACAGTTACTTTAGAGTGCATGTGGAGTGCGGGGGCATCACTTTGTCTAGTTTATTTTTATTTTTTTTTTGTCAGAAAATTTTTTGTGGAATGAGTCACAGTTTTCAAAGAAAATAAGACTTAGATGAAAACTTAAAATGTTCACAAAACTTTACACAGAACACTTATTTAGCACTGTTTTTTTTATATTTGCAGAGAGGATACAACTTATTGAGAGGAAAGGTTCCGTTTAAAGCTAATTAAGAGAAGTCAAAATGTCTGTACAGAATTCTTATCTGCTAAAGTATACCAGAAGATCCTCAATAATAGATAAACATGCGTGTCCTGTTTGTAAGAAAACATTTTCATTACCAGCTATTCTGTCAAAACATTTAAAAACACAGCATGATTTGCAAATGTTATCAACCAAGACCGACACAAAAGTTGAAACTAAAGATGTACAATCACCAAAATCTCTCCCTGGAAGAAGACCACAAAGAAGTGCTAGAAAGCCTACAGATGTCATTGAAAGTGATGAGAAAAAAAGCAAAAAAGATCCGAAAGTTAATGGAGAGAAAAATGTAGGTAGTGATGAAGTTGATAAAACAAAAGACAATAAATCAGAGATGTCTGCTGGAGGGGATGGGCAGAGAAAAAGGGGTAGACCGAGGAAAAGTCTTGCTACAAATGTGGAAAACAGTGAAAATAAAGCAAGCAAGCCTGATAAGATCCCTACTGATATAAAGGAGGCAAGGAAAAAATTGTTTGCTGAGAGAAAGGTTAATACAGCCATTGAAAAGAAAGGGGTCAAGCAGGCAACTGGGTCAGTTAAGAACAAAAAATCTGTACAAAAGAGAATGCATGAACAGAATGAAGATTCCATATCTGACAGTCAGACTGATAATGAAGAAAGAGGAAGACCGAGAAGAAACAGAAGGGAGAAAAGAGCATGGTCTCCATCTAATGATAATAGCATTATATTAGAAGCTAGTATAAAGCAGGAACCAATAGATTATGAAGAGGAAAATATGCAGCATGTAAAAACGGAAGTAGAACTTTCTGTTTATGATGAAATGTTGGAGCCATCAGTCAGCACTAAAGTTGGATCAAATAAGCCAGCTAAGATTTGTAAGGTGGAGGTGAGTGACTTGGAACCAGGAGAGACTGTAGGTCCAGTGACCATTGAAGAAGGAGTAACTATGTCATCAACAGTAGAAGATACCGCTGAGACTCCAGAAGATATGAATATAACCCCTGAAATCGTACATGTAGGTGAAGTTAATACTCCATCAGTAAAAGCAGTTTATAATGAAGAATCTGATGATGATGACCGAGATGAAGATTATAAACCCAATGATGGGGATGAAGATATAGACTTTAAGCCTGCAGTTAAAAGAGGACGTAAAAAAATTGGAAGGACTTACCCTTGTGGGGATTGTCAAAAGGTCTTCACAAAACCGAGTCACTTGCTTCGACACAAGGTTAAACATACTGGAGAAAGACCTTTTCCTTGTGATGTATGTGGCAAAGGATTTGTCTCTAAATCTAACATGGAAAAACATAGAGTATTACATTCTGGAGTGAAGACCAAGATTTGTGACGAATGTGGGAAAGCCTTTGCCCTTAGTTCTTATCTTGTCAGACATAAAATGTTACATGAAAAAGAACGAAATGAGAAAATGGGGATATTTCCAGAACCTGAACACCACCTTTGCAGTCAATGCGGAAAAGTTTTCTCCAAACGACTCTACCTGCAGAAACATATGGAACGTCATGTTAAAGGAAAGTGCTATGAATGCAGAATTTGTGGGAAGAAATTCTCTCAGAGAATGAATAGAATTAATCATGAATTTCTTCACACTAAGACAAAGGATTACGAATGTCATGTTTGTCATAAAAAATTTGCTTTGAAGTGTTACTTGAAGATACATGTGCAGCGCCATCAGAATACACCTATTCCGAAACCTGGGAAGAAACAGCGAGAAAATATTGGATTGAAACCATTTAAATGTTTGCAGTGTGGAAAATGTTATTCGTCAGTTAAATACCTAAATGCTCATGAGAGACTGCACTCAAATCCCAAAAAGTTTGTTTGTGAAACATGCGGAAGAAATTTTCATCAGAAGATTAACTTGCAGCGTCACATTCTGACCCATACTGATCCTGCTACATCAAGGAATCACGAATGCAAAACATGCGGTAAGAAATACTCCCGTGACATATACCTTTCTCGTCACATCAAAGAAAATCACACTGCCGAGGGCTTAGCCAAACCCAGACATCATTGTAGTTATTGTGAAAAGAAATTCACCAAGCCATGCTTACTACGTATCCATGAAAGAACACACACGAAGGAAAAACCATTTGTGTGTAGCACATGTGGAAAAGGGTTTGCTCAAGAAGGTTACATGAAGATCCATGAAGAGATCCATTCATCATTTAAAAAGCACGAATGCACATTTTGTGGAAAATCCTTTGCTTTGCTGTACTATTTAACTCGTCACTTAGCAAGACATGAGCAAGTCAAGTCTATCCCTTGTGATCAATGCTCTAAAATGTTCGCCACTCAAAAAGCTCTAAACGATCACATGCGCATGCATACCGGTGATATGCCTTATCAATGTGATTTATGTCAGAAGTGTTTCCCAAGACTTAATTCACTCCAACGCCACAAGAAGCTGAATGCCTGTCAAATTAAGCCAAACGTGTACTACACCAAACAAGTTATGCCTACTGTCAAGACTGTTGAAAGCCTGGATGAATTAATGGATAAAAGGGAGTTTAGCTGCTTGTATATTTGTAGCATCTGTCGTCAAGTTTTTACCAGTCAAGCCAAACTAGATGCTCATGCTGTTGAGCATGAAGGAGACATGATAGCTGAGGTAGTTTCAGAAGAACCTGAGCAGGAACATATTTCAGCAGAGAACATTCCCGTCTCCAAAGAAGAAGAAACTATAATTGCTGAAGTAGTAAACGTTGAAGATAGTATTTTAGGGGGTGAAGAAATAACTACAGAAGAAACTATTGTTGATGCGGACTGGTTAAATAGGTTATTTTCAAATGCTCATGTAGAATCGGGAACAGACGGAAAGATAATTATTGTTGTAAATAGGGAATAATTAACAATCTGGTATTATACATACTGTCATGACTGTAAACCAACTTACTTTCGCGAGTAGAAAAAAAAATCATAAATCATCACCAATATCTAAAATTTGGATCTTTCCTTATTTAACTACATCAGGTTAAATCTCCATGAAGTAAGCTATAAGGGCTAAACGCGTAAATAAAGTTTTCCCATAAATAAGTTGGTTAACAGTATTGAAGGTTATAAGATCAATGGATTTTTGTTTTGTTTTTTATTACATGGAATGCTGGTGCTTGTGTTAAATCTCTTTTTTACCTACATCATGTACATGTATGATCATGATGCTGTAAATTCAGTTAACATATTATATTAGATAATGGGCAGTAGGGTTGGCCACCAGTCAGAATTTTATCATACCAAATACCAGACTTATGATTCAAAGTGATTCACTTATCACCAGCAAGAGTTCTTATAATTGAATCACCTTGTGGTTAATTTTTAACTGTATTATTTCAAAGTCACTGTATTCACTTTTTCATAACACAGGATTTTAATCCACGTCTTTGGGCTTGTGTACCAGGATTCCTTTATATTTTCTGCTACAGGATTTTTCAACATATCTGTAAACATGATTAAATTTGGCAATTTCAAAACTGAAAATACATGCAGTTAAGACATGTAAGATGTAATCAGCCTCACATGATACATGTACATGTTGCTCTTTTGACTTTTTTCACAATTTTAGTTTTCCTTTTATTTTGCCAAATGTATGCACATTACTTTATCATTTATATTGTTATTTAATGTTAAATGAAGAAATATAAACAGTGCATTTTATGAGTTGTTTGATTATAAATCTATACTAAATGTGCTAAACTATGATAAAATTTTCAATTAACATCTCAGAAAATACTAAAATCTAAGCATGTTTAAATTAATTTTGTAATTTTAACAGATAGCCTATGTAAAAATTTAGTACCAGCAGCTATTTCAAATTTAGGTTTTAATTAAATTGTTTCAATGTTCCAATCTTAACATGTAGTGTAAAATAAAACATTTTTATCATTTTTATTTTTTTGATACATGTCATGCATGTACTTTTTAAACAAAGTAGTATACATTTATCCATATTAACATGATCAAGTTGTTTTTGTTTTTTTTTTCCTGAGTTTCCTCCTTGTTATTTAGGAATAATTTTGTGTGTATGGAAAATTGGGAAAATGTATTGTTTAATTTTGTTGTTCTTTAGAATAACTCTATATAAACATGATAAAGTAAAAGGTAAAAAAAAATGCTATTTTGTAATTTTGTATAAACAAGAGTACAAATGTAGGTCTGAGAAATAACACACTGAGAATAAAAAGATTAATCATGTTAATGAAATGCAAAAAAAAAAAAGCTATACAAACTACCTAAAAATGTCTCCTATAAGCATATATATATAAAAGGGGAATAACTCTTTTTAACTTGAAGTGTGAACCTGTGGAAATGTCAAATGAATTCATGATATAAGATCTCTATAGGTGTAATACCACCATTGATTTTCCCCTATTAGTCTTTGTTAAATTTGCACTTTTCAAAAAATTGTGCAGAATTTATCTTTGTTTCAAATAAAGAAATACTTGGCATGAGTAAAGTTTTATCCTGTCCAGTACTATAGAAAAAAATTCACGTACCATTTCATTGCATATAAGAAAATAACCATCACTGGAAGTTAACCAATCAAATTTCCCCCCTTTTTTAACCTGTGTACAAGCTTTAGTAACCATGTAACCTCAAGTTTCCAAAATATTCTATAGAAACCCCAAAAAAAGAAATAATGGTGCTTGGAAATACCCAAGATATATGTTTATGACTCAGAAATGTTTTACTGCAATGAAATGTAGGATCAATTACCTACAACTGTCAAATTCAAGGGAATATTTTTTTTAGACCTATTTTTGTATGCAACCGGATGTGACGTACTATGATTTGGTGGTATTACACCTATAGCTATTGTAATGAAACACTTAATGCAACTTATCACTGCTCATTACAGTAAGCTTTGTTTTATCAATTTGATACATGTACATCTTTTTGTGAATTTAATTTGATAGACTTCTCATGAAGCTGGATTTTTCCACTGAAAGATTATTGCATGTGTATTGAATAACGATATTAATGATGATGTTTTTAATATTGCAACTTCTTTATTTTGTTAAAGCCAGGTTGGTTTTGATTTTTGGAATTAAAAAAAATGGCATATGAGTGACCGTTTCATGAAAATATTCTGAACCGGTGCTTTGTTCATAGTGCATGTAATGGGATTCATATTTATAAAAATCGGATTTTGATAAGTTACAATTTTTTTATATTAACTGTCAGTATATATATATAATAGAGCCAGTAGTAAAGTTTTTTTCACAAGTTGATATGGGAAAATGAATTCTAATGGCAAATTTTTGTTGTCCCATATATGTATTTTACACAAAAATTATGCCAGAAAATTCCAGGTGCAAAATCCAGTTGGTGTGGCCTTCTATTGTCTGTGTTGGCTTTTTATTGTTTGTTTAATTATATATCTATGATGTGTTGATATTGAAATTCACTGTTTACAAGTTGAAGTTTCTGTAAATAAAAAAATGTTATCATTCTCTTACTTTATATGTCTTTTATGAGAATATGGATAAGCATGTATAAATATAACTCTGCATGAATTGTTGACCTGTTCAAACTGAACTGATGGTTATATTGCATTCACCTTGTCTGTCTGTCTGTCTGTTTGTCAAACAAATATTTCAGTCACACTTTTCTCAGAAACTATCAAACAGAATTACTGTAAATTCAGAAAATTATTATTATTATTGCGCATTCTTGACTAATTGCAAAAATGTTATATCTAATTAATGCAATTCCAAAGTGTTTCCGATAATGAAATTTATAACGTGTTGTTTTCATTTTTTTCCAAAAATGGTATGAAGGAAAATCGCTACAGAAATTATGAATGCTAGTATTTAATCATGGGAGCCTCCTACTGTTCCATTTTTTGTCGAGCCTGCGACTTTTGTCGCAGAAAGCTCGACATAGGGATAGTGATCTGTCGGCGTTAGCTAACTTCTTAAAAGCTTTATATTTTAGAAGCTAGAAGACCTGGATGCTTCATACTTTGTATATAGATGCCTTATGTTACTAAGTTTCCGTCGGTCATATGTCCATTGTCCTTGATCTCATTTTTATGGTTCAGTGACTACTTGAAAAAAAAGTCAACATTTTTTGTAATGTTAATTTCTTTCTTATTATGAGTAATAGGATATATAACTATATTTGGTATGTGCGTACCTTGCAAGGTCCTCATGCTCATCAGACAATTTTCATTTGACCTCGACCTCATTTCATGAATCAGTGAACAAGGTTAAGTTTTCGTGTTCAAGTCCATATATCAGATACTATAAGCAGTAGGTCTACTATATATATTTGGTATATGGAATGATTGTAAGGTGTACATGTCCAACTGGTAGGTGTCATCTGACCTTGACCTCATTTTCATGGTTCAGTGGTCAAAGTTAAGTTTTTTAGTTTTGGTCTTATTTTCTAATACTATATGCAATAGGTTAACTATAAATGGTGTATGGAAATATTTTATGATGTACATGTCAGTCTCACAATTTTTATTTGACCTTGACCTCATTTTCAGGGTTCATTTCTCAGTGTTAAGTTTTTGTGTTTTGGTCTGTTTTTCTTCAACTATAAACAATAGATCAATTATATTTGATGTATGGAAGGATTGTAAGGTGTATATGTCTGTCTGGCAGGTATCATCTGACCTTGACCTCATTTTCATGGTTCATTGGTCAATGTAACGTTTTCATGGTTAAGTTTGTTTCTTAGATACTATAAGCAATAGGTCAACTATATTTAATGCCTAAATTGATTGTAAGGTGTACATGTCTGTCTGGCATGGTTCAACTGACCTTGACCTTATTTTCATGGTTCATTGGTCAATGTTAAGTTTTCTTGTTTAAGACTGTTTCTTAGAAACAATAAGCAATAGGTCAACTATGTTTGGTTTATTCAATGATTGTAAGGTGTACATGTATTTCTCGTTTGGTTTATCTGACTTTGACCTCATTTTCTTGGATCATGTTAAGTTTATGTGTTACTTGTAGTAAAGCTATGTATTTAGGACTATCAACATAATATCATAGATTAGTAAAGAAGGCGAGACATTTCAGCATGTGCACTCTTGTTGCATTATTTAAAATGTTGCAATAATTTCTGAATTTACAGTACTTAGTATTGGGTCAGCAGGTTGACAATGCTGAGTTGTAAAGTGGGAGCATTTTTCCAATTTGACAGAAACTAACTTTATGTTTGTATCTATACTTTGAATTTTTAGGTTTGTTGAAAGAAATTTTTGCTACACTTTTTCCATTAATAACTGAACATTATAACTTTATATTTGGTCAGCAGTTTGACAATGATAAGTTGTAACATGTGAGCGCTTTTTATACGACCGCAAACAAATTTGCGGTCGTATATTGGTATGACGTTGGCGTCGTCGTCGTCCGAAGACACATTGGTTTTCGCACTCTAACTTTAGTTTAAGTGAATGGATCTTTATGAAATTTTACCATAAGGTTCAATACCACAAAAGGAAGGTGGGGATTGATTTTTGGGGTTATGGTACCAACTGTTAAGGAATTAGGGGCCAAAAATAAGCATTTTTGTAATTTATAGACATAACTTGTGTGTTAGTGTATGGATCTCTCTGAAATTGTACCACAAGGTTCCATATCACAAAGGGAATGCTGGGATTGATTTTGGGGGTAACTGCCTCCAAATTTTAGGAATTAGGGGCCAAAAAGGGGCAAAAAACAAGCATTTTTCTAGTTTCAGGACAATAACTTGTGTGTAAGAGTATGGATCTCTCTGACATTGTACCACAAGGTTCCATATCACAAAGGGAATGCTGGGATTGATTTTGAGGGTAATTGCCCTAAACGTTTAGGAATTAAGGGCCAAAAAGGGGCAAAAAACAAGCAGTTTTCTAGTTTCATGACAATAACTTGTGTGTAATTGTATGGATCTTTTTGAAATTTTACTACAAGGTTCCATATCACAAAGGGAAAGCTGGAATTGAGTTTAGGGGTAATTGCCCAAAACGTTTAGGAATAAGGGGCCAAAAATAAGCATTTTTCTAGTTTCCAGACAATAACTTGTGTTCAGGTGTATGGATCTCTCTGAAATTGTACTGCAAGGTACCATACCACAAAGGGAAGGCTGGGATTGATTTTGGGGGTAATTGCCTCAAAATTTTAGGAATTAGGGGCCATAAAGGGGCAAAAATACAAGCATTTTTCAAGTTTCAGGACAATAACTTGTGTGTAAGTGTATGGATCTTTCTGAAATTGTACTACAAGGTTCCATATCATAAAGGGAAAGCTGGGTTTGAGTTTGGGGGTAATTGCCCTAAACGTTTAGGAATTTGGGGCCAAAAAGGGGCCAAAAAACAAGCATTTTTCTAGTTTCCAGACAATAACTTGTGTTCAAGTGTATGGATCTCTCTGAAATTGTACTGCAAGGTACCATACCACAAAGGGAAGGCTGAGATTGAGTTTGGGGGTGGGGAATCATAAGGGGGTTCAAAAAATTGGGGGGGGGGGGATTTTTTTTTCCATTTTTTTCTTTAAAATTTTCCATTTTAAGTTGGTTATTTCTGATTTATATATAAAAGCAAATAATAATGATATGGTTTGAATAGGTAAATTAAAAAAATTTAAGTTCTTAGGCCACATTCATTATGTGTCAGAAACCTATGCTGTGTCAAATATTTGATTACAATCCAAATTCAGTGCTGTATCAAGCTTGAATGTTGTGTCCATACTTGCCCCAACTGTTCAGGGTTCGACCTCTGCGGTCGTATCAAGCTGCGCCCCTGCGGAGCTTTTTATTAGAACTGTCTGGCTCATATTTCTTGTTTTTCCTGTAGAACATCGATTTACAAGTTGGATATGCTTAGCACAACAACACTTGCATTCTTATTTAATCTGTGCAAGTTAAACCCTTATATGATCTGAATATTTCTGCTGTGACATCCAGAAAGACATGGTTTCAGTACACTCGATATATTTGAAATATAGATAATAGATTTATATAATTAATTGCCAAAAATTATGTAAGAAACATACAATGTCTACTACCAACAAACAGCTTATTCAAGAAAGCAAATATACAGTCCATTAACCACGAAATATGAGCTTAATAAATGTATCCAGACTTTGTTCCTACACAAAATGCGATGGGGTGTCCAAACCTATCACTTTCTTAACCATATGCCCCAAAAAATAATTATGCAATTAAAATCAGCTTTGTACATCCGTGATGATCACTAAATTAGACAAAGAACAGGTGGTCATTATAAGGAATACTGAGGAGAAAAACTTTATTAAAATGTTAAGCTATAGTCATAAAAGGTTGTACTCCTTGAAGTTGACAAAATCTGTTAGATACACCTACTCAAGAAAGATAAAATAAAATGGAGAATGCGTCAAAGAGACAACAACCTGACCAGAGAGCAGAACAGTTGGAAAAATTTGGTTGATTATTTAGGGAACCACTGAAGCATGAATGGAGCGGGCCCCCTCCCTTATGAAAATTTCTGGATCTGCCACTGCAGAAAACAGCCCAAGGCCATCAAAGGGTCTCCTAAACAATAATGTATACTAATTCAGCTAATGAACATCACACTAAATTTCGAAACATATAAATGAACCAAAATTTTAAAAATACAAGCCTAACAAAGGCCAGAGGTTCCTGACTTGGGAAAGGTGCAAAATAACATGTTTTGTGAGAACTCATTCCTCCCCCTATACCTCTAGCTAATATGGAATAAACAAACACACAGCAATGCGCACAGTTAGAATAGGTAACAGAAGAAACTAAGCAAATTGACAATAATCAACATAAATTAACAACGGACTACTAGCAGTTACTGACATGCCAGCTCCAGGCCTCAATTAAACTGATTGAAAGATTATGTCTTCATCATATGAAAATCAAGCACAATCCTTCCTGTTAGGGTTTAGTATCATACCATCATAAAATACAAGAGAAGAACATAGCCCGTATCATGCCAACAACTGGTTTGAGAATAAATGTGTTTATTAGTCCCCTACCAACGAAGTCGAAGGGGACTTTAGGTTTGCACTCCATCCGTCTGTCTGTCAGTCCGGCAAATCAGTTTTCCTGACTTTTTTTCTTCATGCTTGAAAATATTGATTTGATATTTGGTTTATTGATTTATCATGACAAGTTACAGTTCAAGTTCAATTTTCACGATTTTAGCTTTTCTTTTTGTTCAGTTAAAGCCCTTTCCCTAGAATTAAATTTTTGATGAAATACTTATTTTAAAATTAGTAGATTTCTGTTCAAAGGGAAATAACTCATTTTTTTAAAGAAAATGACATTTTCGATTTTTTTCCTTTTCTTTGGTAAATTGTTTGAAGAATTTAGTGGTAGGTTTGTTTGTCATTCTTGAAGATATTGATTTGATAATTACTATATAGTTTTATCGTGACAAGTTACAGATCAAGTTGGAATTTTGTTCCAGTCTGATAATTTTGTGCAGAGTTATGGTCTTTGGACATAGAAAATTCACCT